ATTAGTGCACACAATATGCAAAACAGCAAAGCATTATATGGGATTTATTTTTGAAAGGGTAGAGAATGAACCACAAGGGCAACTCTCCTGTGCTACCATAAGCTTTTGTTGCACGGGGCGTGAGGAGGGGACATCTTCCTGAAAGATTATTTTTCCCTTTCTTCTGCAGAAGTAGCAAACTGAATGCATGGCTCTCTAGGGAAAGATCACTGTTTTGTGTAATGGAAGGCTGTCTTCAAAATAGTCCCTTCTGGACTTGTTCTTTCCCAACATAGTAAGAAAGGAGAGTGATAAAACCCCGTGGAGCAGCTCTCTCGCTTTCCCCACTGTATAACAAATTTAACTTTCAGATGGCAAAAGACAATCTCACTCTTAATCTCTTTTCAGCATCCTTTCCCATACTTGCATAAGAAATAACATTTTTTTTCACTCATTTTCCAGCTGCTGCTGATTCACAGACCCTCAGATACTGTGATAGAAGGTCCGCTACAGATATTTCCAGTGGTAGCACACAGAACTGTGGTGGCTTTATGTAATCTCGGCATGTTTTTCAGACACAAGATGTCCTGGCCTGCCGAGTTTGAGAGAGCTGCCAACAAAAAGTGTCTGCAGCTGGGGTCAGTGGGAGGCTAAATCCGAAAAAACAAAATCGGAGATGGATGTAGTGTGTCAGCAAAGACCCTTTCGCTGTACTCTATTGATTGTTTTGTGTTGATTCCTTAGGTTTTGTTTTTTTTTCCTGTTGTCGCTGCCATCTAATTTAAGACATTGCCGTTAAATTAAAAGGCGTGATTGACTGGCATCTGAGACACATCGCAGCTGTCAGCTGCAAAGATAAACTCCGGATCAGGATGCAAATCTTTCCAAAGATCAAGGGTGTTTGGACGAGGCGTCTAAGTGGAGCTCTCTGAGTTAATTTGTAGTAGGAAAGACCTATTCTTTTGGCGTCTCTGCTTAAGATTCAGAACAAGAAATACCAGATATGAGCTTGTCAGTTGATTCTGACCATCTTGAAATGTTCTCCATTTAGCTGTGGAGAATTAGAATGCATTGGGTCAGCTTAGCGTGAAAAGTAATTTGTTTTAGTACGTGATCATGATAAGAACTGACTGAGGAGGATCAAAAAGCCCTTTAGAAACTGGATTTAAGGCATCCCTTTAATGACAGTTTTCATGGAACCCAAAACAGTCCCATGAGAGGCAGCCTCACGTGGAAAAGCCACCTTGGCAAAAATCATGCTAAGGGCTAGGACCATTCTCAAAAAATAAAAAAAAAAAAAACCAAGTTAAAACTTGTTATGTGATTGAGATGTTAGCTGCTGGTTGTGATGGGAATCACTGGGGCTGGAGGTGTGAGCCACAGCTACTCCAGTTAAAGGGAATAAAGGGCAAAGAGAGACAGGTCTGCAGTTCTGCAAGGCTGTAGCCAAGTTAAGTGAGAAGGGGTTGGGTATGTGACCTTCCCAGGAATCAGTGCCTTTGAAAAGCAAAATCCTTCATAAAGCAGTTGCAGCAGACTCATTATTTCTGGATTTAGGACAGATGGCAACTCAACTGGCATCAATCAGCAGGGTGCAGCAGTTCTTTGAGAGCTGGTGAAACGGGACTCCAGGAGTAAATGGCACTGTCCTCATAGGGTCCCATTAACTTCAGTGGGATTTTGCGTTGTATTTGGATGGTTTATTCCCTTCCCGGCATCAGCGAGGTTTCCTCCAACCCCATGGATGAAATGTAAAAAGGGGCAGAGCAGGGAATTGTGCAGCAGATAGGTGAGAATAAACATTTGCTGAAAGATGGGAAGTCCATGAGGGTTGTTGGAGCTCAAAAAGTCACTCCTGATGAACTGAGTGGTGGTTCATGTGTGCAGTGACAAAGTCTCAGTAGTGTCTCTACTGAGTCAGTAGTGCCACCTCTTTCCAGCAGCAAGATGTTTTCAGGTGGTGGGCGGAAGAGCCACGTGTTTTACTCATGGCACAGCATTTTTTTCCCTCTCAAAGGTGGGATGGGTATAACTTCATATAATAGGCCCTTAACCGCTTGTTTACAGCACCACTAAAAAAGACAAATCACTTGAAACAGTGAGTGACTAGACCCAGGAAAAGAAGGGAGATTTCAAAAGGTTTATCTGACAGCCAATAAACAGGATAAATAACATGCAGTATTTCATTTGTCAGGACCATGGGACAACCTGATGATAAAAAAGGACTACTCCATAAAGTGGGGAATACCTTTGTCTTGGCTATAAATGCCTGTGTTGATTTAATAAGTGTTCTGGTACTTCTCTAGCTTCCCTTTAGTACTCACAAATGGGATGGAAACTGAGGAATAAGGAGAGGAAGGGAGTTATCTGTGCTCAACCTCATAAAGAGGTATCATTCCCGTTAGAGGTTTGAGATCGTAATGGTTTTTATCTTATTTTGAATGGTTCTCCCATTGCTGAGGATAAACAGAGTAAGAAGAAGTCAAAGACTGGAACCTGTGCTATCCCCAGTTCTTTCCTGTAGTGAGACTGGGCAGAAATACATATATTTCTATATATTTTTAGGGGTTTAATGTCATCATAATAAGTTACATTCTGAAAGGCAGACCTCTTTGAATACGCCATCATCAAACTGGGAACATCATGATAATGACAATCAGTTTGGGTAACCAGTCTGAATTTTGCTTACAAACACAACATTAAGTGACCTTTCAAAACACTGGAGCAGTTATGCATTTTGACTCAAAAAACATCCCAAGCAAATATATCCCAAGCCTAGCCAAGGCTTGTGTGGAGTTGCTTTCTCCCTTCCCCAGCCTCACTCCTAATCTCCATGGGAGTGAGAGTAAAGAAGGACATCCTTAAAAGGGCACGAAAAGAGCTGATTAGCTCCTGAATGTGTCTGGTTACAGATATCCTATCGATCAGGTCAAACAAGACATCAGGATACCTGCTATTATGCCAATGGCCTCTCTTGTAACTGAAACACAACCTGTCTCCCCTCAGGAGAGAGGAAAGCCAAGCCTATTTCCCTATGCTGTTCAGAAAAGGAAAGTGACTTTCAAGGGCCAGACAGTCTTCTTCAAGGTTAAATATTTATTGTGTGCAGATAACAGCTCCATCCTCCACACTGCTGTTAGGATCCGGGCACCTTGCTGGCAGGTTCACTCGCCTGCCTTTCCATCCTGCTTTATTTTCCTACATTATTCTCATTATTAAGTATCTAAGCAGCTTCCACTGCACTCAGAAGTGTGACTATTCCTAAGCATGTGTTTATTTTCACTCTGTCCTGGGAGCAACAGTTAGAGCACAGCCAGTCTGGTGGTATTAGAATATGAACTCACAGGTTCGTGCTGTGGAGGTCGATGAGTATCTGCCCATCCCTGTGCAAAGAGGGTGCCTGGTAATGCCCATATATTCTGACCTGGTACCTAACTGGACTGTTGAGGACCTTCAACAGCCCAGGTTATCCAGACATGGCTGGTGTCCTGCCTAGGATGTGTAGGGAGCAGCAGAACCCACATCTCAGAGGACAGCTGTGATCTCCATTGCCAATAAATAGCAATACAGGAAGGCTGGGTCAGTTGAAATGGATCATTTGCAGCTCTGAAATCTCTTAATTTTGGTGGAAAAAAGAAAAGGAAGGTTGTTTCATTTTCATTGTACAAAGCAGCATTTGTTTTTCTCCTGATGTTTCCTCTCTCTATAAAACTGTATCTTTAGCTCATTATCTTTATCTGCGCCTGAGCGTGGCACAGAGCTGAATTTCTTGGACCTGAAGCATCTCCAAGGGTAGCTTTGGGTAATGAGCAAATGCACAGCAGGAAAAGCAGCCATCTGAAAGTGGTCGCCTCTGTGATGAAGGGCCACCCCTCCTCCTTCCCATGAGGTGGGCAAAGGATGGAGCCAAAGTGCTCACCAGCTGTTAGAAGGGGGGGCCTATTACAGAGCAGGTTTTAGCAGGCCAATGAGGAGTGAAGTGACCACTGAGAGATGTGACAGCTTATCCATCACTTGAAGAGCCTGGATGATCCCTTGCTGTCTTTTTACAATGCAAACCCAAGCCTTGCTGGGCTCCCCACATGTGCCTTGCTCAAGGCTTTGGCCAGTGTGTGGGCAAGCCAGTTTGAGATGGTTTTAATGTTCCATTGTGCCACCTATGTTTATGGACATCCCACCAGGGCTTGTTCTTGGCAGCAAGCTGAAAAGATGCAGCATGGAGAAGGCTGCAGAGGCTCTGTGTTTCCCTTCTGCAAGTGGCAGGATCAGCCCTGCAGCAAGAAGATTGTTGGTTCCATCAGCTTTCACGGTTGTAGCTGGTGGTACAAGAGGGAAAGCTCATAGATTTCTCCCCATGGGTGCTGCAAGAGTGCTGGAGGGGGAATATCATTCAACCACCAAAGATGTCCTTGAGAGTGATGCCTCTCTGTGGCTGATAGTATCAGCAGTGGGGAATAAAGTGTCCTTTTGGGGACGAGTGGGTGCTAGGACCCCTACCCTTCCCTGCTCCCTTGTGCTGTCTGCTCATGGGCTTGTGTGTTCGTATGGGGGGGAAGGAGGAGGAAAGACAACCTCACCAATGCTGGATGTGTATCTTGAAGTGTTTTTTGCAAGTGCCTTCTGGGGTTAGGAACCAACAGAATGCAAAATGGGCACAGGGTCTTCTCAGAGTAGAGGACCTATTTGCCCCCAGCAAGCAAAGGAAGAGCTGGACTAGTTAGAAATGGGGCAGGGTTTCCAGAAAGGCAAAGTCCCTGTTTAGAGATAAGGAACAAGTGAAAAGAAGTCAATGAAAAGACAATGTTTCTCCCTTCCCCTTCTATGTCTTGACTTTCTGGGCTACCCCATGATGTCTAGTCCTACACATTCAAAGACACCCCAGTCTGGGGGCTTGGCTGTGGGTACATTGTAGGGTGTGCTGGGCCAGCAGTTCGTGATGGCCCAGCACATCATGAACACCTTGGCTTCCCGGATGCTGGGCTCTCACCGAAGCTGATGGGGCTTTTCTGGATTTTGCCCAGGTGGTTGGAACCCGTGGTCGGCTTGGGGTGACTGCACCAAGGACTGCGGGGGAGGCCTGCAGACCCGCATGCGCACCTGCAAGCCCCTTCCCAATGAAGGTCTTGTCTGCGAGGGAGTCCTGGAGGAAGGACGGCTGTGCAATAGGAAGGCGTGCAATAGTAAGTGGAGGCATGTTCCTTTGCACGCGCGCGTGAGCGGGTCGCTCTTCTCAGGAGGAGCCTGGCTGTGGTGCCATAAATGATGGAGGATGCTCTAGAGGCATGGTGAAACCGCCGAGGGTCTGTGTGGGAGCAGCAAGCCCAGGGGAGCATGCGACTTTTCGGCTGTGCATGGCCCTGCCCTTCCCTGCCTGTCTCGCGGTCACGCATGCACACGCACACGTGCTGACACATGTCCTCCCACACACACCTGCAGATCTAGCCCTTTGCCCCAAAGAGTAAGGGGTTCATCTATAGGAACCTATAAGCAGGCTTATATCAGGTATTCATACGCTAGTGGTAAATCTGTCACCGATAGCAAAATATACACCCCTAAAGGCATTTCTTTGATAGTTAGAAGCTCTCTCCCAAATAATTAATGCATGCAGATAAGAGAGATGTTAAACTTTTGGCTTAGTTCACTTTCCCAGACAAAAGCAGTGTTGCTGTTCCTTTCTTTTATGAAATGAAGCCTTCAGTGCTAAGATGTGCAGAAATATCTGGCTGACAGAAAAAAAACAGGGCTTGAGCAAGGCAAAGGTTTTGGTAGATCCTCCACTCTCTTTTGGTAATGCAGGCTCTGTCCAGGTCCTCTTCTCCAGAGGGCAGGGGACAAATTGTCATCACCAGTCAGCAGGGAGATACTGGTGGGTGGAGCTGGTGACCTGCAGGCCTTTCATTCCCAGGGCTTCTTTTGGATTAGCTGAGCAGAAAGGGGGATGAAGAGGAAAAAAACAACAGCAGAAGCAGCTCAGCCCAGCAAATGCAAGCAAATGGCTGATTATAATTATTCCCTTCTTTTTATTTCAAATTCATAGTGGAGAATGTTTGAATAACTCCTCCGACTAGTCAAATAACTAGGGAAAGTTCAGCTGTCTTCAAAGGCAGGGAAGTATCTCCTGATAAAGGGGAAGTTCAAATAAAGGGACATAAATATATTCCTCTAATAAGAGCTAAAATGATTTCATGCATTTTTTACTACTTCCATAAATTTAAATCATGTTGCAATTAGGCTTTTTTCTTCTCTTTTTTTTTTTTTTTAATGAAACCTTCTAGTATATTGAATTTCATCTCCTTGACTCACAGTTGCTAATTTCCCTCTGAGCTTCGCCCACACTAGGGAAATTTAATCTATGTCCCCCACACTTATTGGTGACTTTGGAGTTGTATCACAGCCGTGGCCTGGGGCAGTGAGGGTAAGAGTGCCTCTATCTGTGGGCAGGGACCTGGAAGCTGGAGGTGAAAGGTGTAGGACTTGAGTGCTCCTGAATGGAGCTAGAGGAAGGGCCATGGCAGTCTTGGTGGATAATTCTGTGAAGGAAAAGAAGGTGGAGATGGGTAGAGTGTGGGTGGGTAGACGGGGCTCTATGGGTGTGGCGATTCTTTGAGCGTGGGGACACATGAGACCACAGGGAAAGAAACTCCTTAGAGTGCCCCTCCTGTGCTGGACAAACAAGGGAGGGGACCCAGCTCCCCAAACTCTCTTTGTAGGACATCTGTCCCCATTCCTAACCATCTTCAGAGCCCTCCATGGGACCTGTTCAATTCTTTCACATCCGTTTTGAACTGGAACTGTCCAGACTGAACACAGTTTTCCAGGTCCAGCCTCACCAGCACTAAGCAAGGGGCATAACACCTTCCCTTGTTCTGCCCCAGGGCTCAAAACTTTGCTCTTCTTCACGATAGATCTCCTGAGGTGGCCGTGGCAAAGAGAGATGAAGTGGAATGATGGGCAACCATGGAGCCTGGAAGTCTGGGTTGGGTTTCCAGCTCCACTTATTGCACAAATTGATCTATCCCTTTGAAATGAATAAGTTAATTCTGATTAATTCTCCCAAGGGCCTCTTTGCAGACAAACTGCCAAGCCCCATTGTGATGCCTTCAGGGAAGATATGAACAATTTATCTTTCAAGACTTGCTCACGTACATCTTGAAGTCTGTGTCCTACCTCAAGATAAACCTCTATCTCTTCATTTCTACCAAAGGCTCTGAACTTTCTCCTCACTGAATCTGTCCCTCATTGCCTTTGCAGCCATGTAAAGGTTCATGCAAGAGATAGCTGAGCTTTTGACCCAAGAAGGGCTTTTAATTTTTTTGCACATATTATTTCCTTCTGTTTATTGTGATCTGCACCAAAAGCTGAGAGGATTTAAAGGTAGAATATAAATCCTTCTGTTTTAAATGTGTCACTGCTATTCTCATCCTGACTTTTGCTCATAGATTTGTTAGGAATGAGTAGCGTGTTCATTCTTCCACTTGAACTGTTATTTTCCTAAGTGTTCATTATACATTGCAGTTAAATAGATTCTAATTCAGGGTTTTTTTAATTAAAATTAAAAAAAAAAAAAAAAAAAAAAAAAGAAAGGCAGGGACATGCTCTCTAACTTCACTAATACAGAGATTTTGGATGCTGGAAGTCACTAAGAGGAAGGGACTGAAGCTAACCACTGTTACTCTCCCAAAATAGCACCTCTTATTACCTCTGTTAGAGGAGTGCTGACCTAAATGGGCTAATGGTCTGACTCAGTATGACATTTATTCTGTCCTTACATTTTGCAAATTTACCCCAGTTTGAAGTGAATGGTCTTTCAAAAAATATTCTTGGTCTTTTAAGATTTCTTCTCCTTCTTTTCAGTAACCACTTCAAACCTTTACTAATAGAACCTGAGCCTAGAATAAAGATTATTTCCAAATAAAAATAAAAAAAAAAAAAAAAAAAAGAGAACTGGACAGAAGAACATCTTTATCTTGAATTGTGCAGCATTTCAGCAGCTGGTAATAATACCTGACTAGCTCTCCGTGTATTGTGGAGTAGCTGAGACCTTCATTTTCTACTAGAAAACAAACAAGAAAAAATGCTCTTTTCCTTGACCAAAGGGCCTTCTATAATCCTGATAAAAGAGCGAAACAAAACAGGGATGAGCGCTCTGAGGTTTTCTTCTTTGCTGTGGAGGTAAACTGAAATGTGTCCAAGGAAACTAATACCACCACTGAAAAATAAAATCAGTTGCTGGCCAAGCAAGTTAGGTTAGAATAACAAAGAAATCATGACCACCTTCAAAACAAGGGTAAGCCCTTCATTTTTCTTTAATTTCTCCTTCCTTTCTTCTGCCAAAGTGGCTCATAAGCTGATGGATGATTAGGAAGAGTGTTTTAGTTGTATATTTGGGTCTCCAAGAGCAGGGAGAGTTCTGAGTCTGATACTGTGTTTGGGAAAGGTTCTCCTTGGGAATAACTTTGAGTGTGCCACTCAGCTCCCTGGAGCTGCTGAGATGAACTTTTGTGGAGAATCTGTGAGGGCTTCATTTGTTTTTTTATTTTGCCTGTCCATGACAAATGTGTTAGAGTTATCTAAACTGTCTTGTCACTGAGCTCCTCCCCCAGGGGGACCTTCTCTAGGTCCTGCCATCCTTCCTCTTCTAGAGCTGCCACAGGTGGACCTTCAGCAGGTGTCAATAATGGGAATAGTGGCTCTCAGCCTTTCCAACAGGTGTGACTTCTGGCAGCTTGGTCACTGAAAAATAGGTATAGCCACGTGGTTCCCAGAGATAAGTCTTAACATGCTGTCTGGAGGCCATAGTGTTTGAAATCACTGCACAGGGAAGGCTGAATGACTCCAGAGGTGGCACTTGTAGGTGGGCTTTATGTTTTTCTAATTGCTCGGACCACCATCTCTGCTGTTTCTTGTAATGGAATCTCTTGCTTGATGATCTTCATCTGGCTGAATTTCCTCAGGGATACCTACCCAAGGCCAACAGCAAGTGAGCCAGGTAAGTTATCTTTATGGGAAAAACCCAAAGCTGTGAAACATTGAAGAAAGCCTGTAACGAAAGCTCGTCTCAAACTGGAAAGGAAACTTTGTCTGGAAACAGCAGCTTGTCTTAGGCAGAGCCTTTTTTCATGGCAGCTGTTCAGCTCAAGAGACATGATCTGAAGGACAACATTCAATGTTTGTTGTAACTCTGATTTTCCCTTGCTGGAGGCAAAGGATCCGGTGATATCCTCTTCTCCGGCACAGACAGGGGAGATTTCCTCCATCTGTTGGATTTGGCCAGGAGCTTCTGTTTCACAGAGGGAGGAAAAAAAGCCAACCTGAGTGTGGTGGCAAGTGCTTGCAGAGAAGCTCTCCAGGTCCACCCCCTTTGGATGGAAGGGGACACCTGTTGTTCTCTGGTAGCCCCTCTTGACTGTGTGGTGCTAAAAGCTGTGGTTGCTTACAAGCTGGCATGCCAAGAGTCCTGGTGTGGAGGCTGGATGGGCAGCATGGCAGGACAATATCCAAAGCAGAGGAGGGATGTCACAGGCCTGACCCTGGCGCTGGAATTCGGCAGTGACGGAGAAATGCAAGAACAATCAGAGATGTAGGCAGCCTGCATTTATTCCTGGGGAATGAAAATCGGCAGAGGAGCCAGCTGAAATCCTGCCATCCCATCTGGCAGAGGCAACGCAAAACCATCTCTGACATTTATGAATATGCAGATTGGGCAGATACGTCTCCCGTTGGCTGGGAACGGGATGGCTGCATCCTACCCTCAGGTGTAGAAGTGTGACACCAGTGCAGTCCCATCAATCCACGCTGGATTTCCAGCATCAAGCAAGTTCAGGATATAGCCCTTCAGCTGTGTAACTGCTAGTGGTGTGAAGAAATGCATGTTCCACATGCCATTCAATAGACTGAGCCTCAGCCTCATTCTCTGCCGCCCCTGATTTTCATTAAAAATAGCCTTTTTGCTGCAACCACCGAGCTGAAATATCCTGTGCGTGTGTGAGAGCATCTTCATTCCCTGCAGATCCGGCTAGAATTCATTGCAAGCTGAAAGAGCACCTGGTCCTATAGGTACCTGCTGCTGCCTCCAGAGACTTCACCCAGTCCCCCCTTTTAATGGTGGTTCAGACCTTTTGTATCCGAGGGTCATGCACCTCACCCGGCGACATTTTCACAAGTCTCTGATGTTCAAACCAAAATGCTTTGGGCCATTTCCTTAAGCTATTTTATATATCTGTTTATATCTATAAGTTATTTTTATCTATATCTAAGCTATATAAGCTATTTATATCTATAAGCTATATTTATATCTATAAGCTATTTTATATAGCTAAATTGCTATATATCCAAGTGGCCTCCAAAATGACCCTCTTCTACATCTACTGAGATCTTGGTTGTTTGGGGTGGTTAGTGATTCTGCCCTCCTCACTTTTACTCCTTTAGCAGTTGCTAGATGCCCCTAAAACTCCATAACCAACACTTTCTCCTTTGTATTTAGTGCTCTGAGAGACATTTTCCCCTTTCAACTGTTTTTCTTAATCATCCCTTTCCACTCCTTGCTCTGGTCCACCCTTTCATTCCCACCAACCCAGGTTGCCTGAATGATTTTCATGATCCTGCTATTTTCTTTGCCTCTCCTGTTTAGGGGACGAGTATAGAGGAAAGAGTTTGCAGCTCTGGTGAGACACGCTTTGCCTACACCACTGCAAAGTCTCTGCATTCATTTCCCCCCCCCGCCCCGGTTGTGTTGCAAGGTGCTGTCTGACATCTTACATGTTCTCATTAGAAGTGTTGGTCACCTCCTTCCTCTTCCCACTACTGCCAGCGTTGCAAGATCATCCTCTCCATCCCCATCTGAGCTACGTTATTGCATAATCTCACTTGCTTGCCTTCGCTTGGAATTGAAATACCTCTGTGTTTCAACCCCAAAGGGCATTATTTCTCTAGCCCTCTTGCTAGGTTCTGCGAGGTGCTGGGAATTTCAACATTGTGCCATCCTCACAGTATTTATACAGCAGAGATGTAAATCAAGTCTAGGTCTTCCTTTGATCCTGGAATAATTCTTCTCTACTAACCCTGCTGTGGCAAGCGGCTGCTGAAATCCAACCAGTTCCTTACTACCTTTATTTTGTGGCTTCCACCCCATAAATTCCAGCTGCATAAAACCCACAGAAAAGCATCCCTTGCACCACCTTTGCCCTGTGCATAAGGGACCTGGCTTCTCCCTGCTTTGTCCAGACTCACAGCTGATTTTTTGCATATATTCAAGGCAACTGTCCAGGTTAAATCAAAGCCATGCTGTGTGTTAAACGGAGACAGACCTGCTTCTCTGCAACACCTTCTCCAAAGGAGAGGGAGCCTGTCTGCTACAATGGAGCAACTCCAGCATGAGTCTGGAGGCAGTCCTTGCTGGGGGAGGCCAGGGCAAGCTGGACGGGTCACACAATAGCCACTACACCTGATTACCTTTAATTAGGATGAGTAACAGCAGCACAGGCTTGTCATATATCTGTCAGGGACCAAAGGAAATCTTCAAGACCAGGAGATAACGATAGCACGGGGCCCAAATAACTGGTGAGAGGAGGTCCAGGATGCCAAGGCTGCATTTAAAACTTATTTTGCTCTTTTATCTTTCCTTCCTTCATTCTGTCCTGCTTCCTGTCTCTCTGTCCATCCATCCATGCTCACTGGCTGCTTCTGGGATATTCAGTCTCAAGTTTTCCTCGTCACTTTCCTTGCTCTGGACAGCTGACAAAGCCATCCAAGCTCCACATCTACCTCTTGTTGCCCAGGCCTTGTTTCTGTTTTTGTAGTCTGAAGAAATCTCTGGGAAGCCTTTGGGATTTACTGCAGATGGAGATTTTTTTTTGTGTGTTCTTGTAACTTGTATGCTTTCATGAAGAGACCTTAAATCAGAGCATGGGTGTAGCCACAACGGGTGGTGGATACGGAGCAGGGTTTGTGATGTGTCCCAAATATGGGACTAAATTAACCTGTCCCCTAAGCAAGCTCAAGGCACTGGGTATTGGAAAAGTAGTTAGAGGTTGGCATTTTTAAAAAATTGAATCTCAATCAGGAAAATCCCATGACTTTGTAGTTATTAAAAACTTAGGATTTGGGCCCTTTTTATTCCAGGAAAGAGCCAGACAAAATCAAGATGTATGCAAATATCAGGATATTGGTAATCCTGATGTCCACCTATCGATGCCTTTCCCTTGATGATGGCAGGCTAGTGACTGCCCCATCCTGTCCCCTCCAGGTAGCAGCCTGCAACCAGTTGGTGCTGGGAAAGTTTGGAGAAGTTGGCGTGGTGAGTTTCTAGGTTCCTTACATCCTGCTTTTAGGCAACAGTAATGGGAAATAATATAATTTCACAAACTAGATGGGGCTCTTCCGTGAACCAAGCTGCTGAATATGAAGTCTGGCTCCTGGCAGGGACTCTCTGAATCATTCCTCCCTCCTCTGCTTTCCCTTTTTAGATGGCAATAAAGACTCATGCCACCACACTGAAGCTTCATTAACCTTTATTAATTTTCTCAAGGTTCCGGGATCAAATTTGTCACCATTTCATCTCTTGGCAGTTTGTACTTCTTGAAAAGATGTCTGACTGTTTTACCTCCTCGGAGGAAAAAGATCCTCTGTCTGGTCCTTGCTGTTTGGAAACAAATTGGTTGCCAGATCACAGATTACTGGGGCTCAGCTCTGCTCTCTGCCATTCTGCATGACTCCATTGGAGTCAGCTGAGCTCTCCTGATTCACAGCAGGCAGTACTGGTGGGCGGGATTTGGTTGCTGTTGCTTGGTTGTTTCTCTGTTTACTAGGACGTGCACATGTCAGGGCTGCAACATGCCCAATAACATGTAGAATGGAAATTTTCTCTTCCCCCGTCGCAAATCCAGGGCTGACCCACATGGGATGCAAATGCGAAGCTGGCAGAAGTGTGGGTTTGGAAACAACAGGGGTGTTTGCTGTCCATCAGGAGTTAAAAGCCTTTACTTTACAGTAGATGCATTATTTACCTTCTGATCTCAACATCATGGTCTTCAGTGGGAGATTTTTCAGTTAGGACACCACGGTTAGGAGCTTTGATCATTCTCATGAGTTGGAAAGGTGCCCGGCCGTAGCTCTGTTGGCAGATAAGTGACTTTGTTGATACCAGACCTTCATCTCTCCTTGTTGCTGGTTGTAGGATAGAGTCTGTGAAGGAGACATCCTTTTGAGCTATCCCTTTCCTTTTCACCTGCCTGCTCCACTCACCATTTTCTGGTTACTCTACAGAGCATTGCTAAGTAGATGTTGGTTGCAAGGCAGAGATTTTCACCAAAAGATACTGCCAGTCATCCCCATAGATCTCGAAACACTGCTAGGGATGGTGGGATTCATTGTCAGCGCATCTGAAAAGGTTAAATCCTCCACAACTACAGCAAAGAGTGCAGACACCCTAGAAATTCATCGCAATTGATTAAGGACCCAGCACAAGGGATCATATTCTGCGCGGTCCCGAGTCTCAATGATAAACAAGGGGTTGAACTGCCAGATTGAGTCTCACAGGTTGGCTCAGTGCTAAAGCCTTGGGGACTTCTGGTGGCCAGGGGTGCTGGGGTTGGAAAGCAGGTGATCGTGTCAACCGAACGTTGCAGGTCGCTGTTGTTTATGCGTGTAACCTTTGTAGTGAAAGATCTTGCAGAGTGAACCAAGGTGTATTTACATGACCCATTACCTTGCCATAGCCAATGGACGCTATAATTCCAGAAGCCAATCGCTGAGGTCCACAGATAACAGAAAGCGAGAGGACACTGACGAACTGCAGCACTACGGGTACCCCGCACCTCAAATAGGTAAGCTCTGACCTACCACAACAGCCTCTGGAGCTGGCACACTGCCTGGGCACTGCACTTCCCGGCTGGGCTGGGCTGACTGCGTTGACTCGCTTTGCTGTTTCAATCACCCAGCTAATTAACTCTTTTCCTCCCAGCTTAGCGTGGGGTTTATCCGACAAGTCACGCGCTGGGCAAACAGTCATCACTCAGTCTTTCCTCATCCCGTTGTCCTCCAGGGTTTTGTGTTGTTGCCATTAGCCAGAGAAGGCAAAAAAGGCTTAGATGCAAAGCCCTAACCAGCCCATGCTTCTCACAGACCGCTTCTCATCACCCTGCCTACTTCTAAATCACTGCTTCGTCTGAACTATCTAAACAGCCATGGTTCATTAAGCCAAAGCTGACCTTACTGCGATACAGCCTCTTTGCTGATGTCCATGTCATGCCTTCCCATTGAGCGTAGAAGGAGGTGTGCAGGGTGTGATGGGGAGAGAGCAGCAGGTGCTTTCTTCTCTCACCGGGTCTTCAGTGTTGTGCAAGGACTTGTACTTGGTAGGTTCTGCAGCTGGACCTTCTGCCCTCCTGCAATAGGAGGGGAATAATATGTAGTAATATTGGAGAGTGTGATATGGGAAAATGGGAGTGAATTGAAGCTAGGTATACACCAGCTCCAGTCTGGAGAAGGTTTGTGCTCTCCCCCCACAGCTGTCTTTCATTGCAGGAGCTGAATGCATCATGGGTCTTGGGCAACGCAAGGTGTGCGAGCCCTGGCTACAGGTTAAAATCAGTGCCCAGGGACTATGAAGACAGTCTGAGAGAGTTAGGAGTGCTCAGCCTGGAGAAGAGAAGGCTCCAGGGAACCCTTATAGCACCTTCCAGTACCTAAAGGGTGTCTATAGGCACTATGATTCCATGATTCTGTGATTCTATGACCTTGCAAACAGTTTGTGCTCTAGAAAGGCTTCAGACGGGTGACTCAAAGAGCCAGAGCTGTGAATTAGGTTAAAAGGGAGAGCGGGTTGTATTCTGGTGTAAATTAGCTGTGCTCCATCCAGCCCAGCAGTGTTCAGCAGTGAACATCCTCAGGAAGCAGCGCCATGCTATGAAGGTTTTGAGGGTGATAGGGCAATGTCTGGGATTGGGGCTTTCAATACAAGGCAGGAAACAGTCTGAATTGCCTTGCTACCCTGTACTGAGCCTGCTCCCTCTGATGGGAGCAGTTCTGCTGCCTGAAGGATCACTGGCAGTTGGCAAAAAGCTGCAGGAGAGGGAGGGCATTTGCCCTGCTGTAACCTGGTGAAGCTGAGCTCAACCTCTCAGTCACACATGTTCAAACAGAGGAGAAGAGAAGGCACTCCAAGGCAGGTCCCATGATGTCCTCTGTTGTTCTTCCTCTGCCTGGCGGCAGATGCTTCCCTGGTGCTTTGTTCCAGCCTGTAGCTCAGCCATCAGGTTTATAGCTTGGCATGTCTTCCTGCCGTGCAGCTGGATACCGCATCTGGGCCCAACGACATCTCTATTAACTCCCTGTCGTCGTAGCCACTGCTGTAGCATGGTTGACTTGGGCTGTGGTATCCCTGAGTGCAGCATGGGATGGGAGACCCAGCCAGGAAGATGTGCGTTGCCCTGACATGAGATTTCCACAATCCTGCTTTTGCCCCAGGAGCAGCAACAGCATCCAGGTTGTTCAAGGACGTGAGGATGGAGGAGATGTAAAGACCAGACAGAAGATACAACCCAGGAAGGGATTTAGAGGGAGTTTTTAGCTGGGGATAGCAAGGCAAAGGCCAGGTCTTCCCTAACAATCCATACAGTTTGTAGGGGATAAGTTGTTTCACATCCATTCAAGGCCTGGAAAAATATGAACTACAGAAAAATAGCTGTAAGGACAAGGGATGAGGGGATGTCCCTGGGTTGCTGAAGGCTGGTATTTGCTTCTGCCCATCCTCAGCAGCCCTGGTGCCCAGGTCCTGTTGGCCCACAGGCTCTGGCACAGTCCTGCTCTCAGCTGCGGTGCCGCCGGCTGCCTGCGTGTCTCTCCCAGCAATAGCACAAGAGGGAGACCCAGCCCAGCATGTCTCTGGCACGGGCTTTCCCAGCTCAGCCCACAGGCTGCTTCCAGAAGGTCTTTGCCAGCATCGGGATGTGAGCGAAGAAGCGGTTGCACGTGGCGAGATGTCGGATTGACAGATGATACCCCCCCCCAAAAAATAGGGATGCTGGCGAAGGGATGACAGCGACGTGCCGCTCCATTAGTGCCGAGGGAGGAAGTGTCACGGAGAAGCTGCAGGCACTGACGGGGACTCCACAGCCAGCTGAGCTCTCTGTAAGGCCAGCTCAGTTACTTTCAGGGCTGGCCAGGTGCTGGAAAGGATCCTGAATTGCAGTGCTAGATCCCCGTGGAGTGATGCCCGGCATTTTTCCTTCTGTGGCACCTGCTGGATCTTCTCCAGCTGTAGGAGAGGTGCCACAGCTGCCTCTGTGGGAGCAGAAAGCCCTGCAAAAGGCCATCTTCCCACCTGAAGTGGGGTTCTCGTTCCTGCAAACTCCTTTGGGACACTCCTCTTAATCCCCAAAATAGCCTGGTACATCACAGGACTAATCAAAAGGTCAGTCCTGCAGAGACATCTGTCTACAGGCAGCAGTCATGATGGATGGCAGTGAATGACCCCTTGTCCTCTGCGGGTGAAGACCAATTTGGTGGAGTGCATCTCTGGCAGGTGTTTACATGACAGCACTGAGCTGGTTTAGGGGGCTTTCAAACCTGATGAGCATGGTAGACTCTTGCCCCTGTATCAAAATTCAGAGCCAGGATCCACTCCTGGGGTAAATAACTGGAAGATATTGCATCCAGTAATTTGTATTTGTTGCAGTCTGACCCACAGGAATGCAGAAATTCTTCTCATCTTCTGGGGTAAATAACTGGAAGTAATTTGTATTTGTTGCAGTCTCACCCACAGGAATGCAGAAATTCTTCTCATCCACAGTTTTGATGATCGGCAATATTCTGCTTCTCTTGGGTGGAGGATGAGAGAGCTTGTCCTGATGCCTGAGAGCATCTCAGAAATGGGTCTGGCATGGTTTGAAAATCAGTTGAATTTCTCCTAAGTTTAAGTCTAGACTGGACACAGTGCCCCAGTCACCCAGGCTGAGAGAAATTTCTTAGTGCAAAACTAGACCAAACCCAAAGGAGTAACCAGCACTTGGAAAAGAAACTATATTATAGATTTAAAAATCAGGGATTGGTGAAATGTGAGAGATGATAATTGAGGAGTTTTACCTCTGATCATAGACATTTCTACTGTGAAAGGGCAAAGGCCAAAAATAATAAAGAAGGGGAAAGAGGCAGAAGAGACTGAATTTGGGTCAAAGATGCCATTCATTCATCTAGTGACACACTAACTCTTGTCTGAACATAGAGATTGTAAAATCACAGAGCCAGGTCTGAGTGGGGAAGGGATGGGATGGCAGGTTCTCCAAGCCATGAATTGCTGATGGAGGAGGCCACCGTGTCTCTGCAGGTTTCCTCCATCCCACCTCTGGCCTCTCAGAAAGACTTCTGGGCACAAGCCAGTGGTGTTTGACTACCAAGAAATGCCAGGTCCCTGCCATTGAGGGAATTGCTGCTGCTGGATGCAGCATTGGGGAAGTTGTTAAAGGTCCATGGAGGGGGTCCTCTGAGCAATCCAAAGACATCGTCTGTTGGTGCAGCATCCAAGTAGGCTAGGTAGCAGGAATGGTTTGGGGGCCAAAGAGGTATCTCCTGAACTCTGGGCCACTTTGGATGGCAAACGATACCAAAAGGTAACTTGCTGGTGGTGAACTCAGAGTATCACAGGACTGTCTGTCTGCCAGAGACAGTTGAGGTCCTTATTGGAAAAGCATTAAAATTACTATGGAAATTCAGATCTCTGTATAAATCTAATGTTGAGAAACAGGATATGGGAGCAATGTTTTCTTGAAGGTCCTAGGCCTCAGATCACACTCCGTCTCCTACACATCCTGGAGAAAGACCAACGGTCCATAACATTTATCTAACTGGAACCAGCTGGGTAGATTAATGCAACAAATTAAAGCAAAAATTAATTAATTTGCAATTAATTAAATGCAATTAATTAAAGCAAAAGCAAGGTGAAACAGTATTGAGCAACTTTGGCTTAATGAACAAAAGTAGTTATGTCTCATGATACTTGTTGTAATGGCATGGGTGAGGTGGAGAAAGACTCACCCTTACCTCCACCTCTTTTTGACTCCAGCCAGTAGACGAAGGAATGAAAACCCTCCCACTTTACATCAAGGACAGGTCTTCCTCTACACTTTTCCCCTCCAGCAGGTTGATTCATCAGCCTCCAATTAGCGGGCACACTTTTAACTACCTTTAACCAACTGTCTGAATGACTGGAGACATTCAAAGTAGATGTGCTGAAAAGCAATAACGACTAACACAGATAACTATCAAAAAGCCCAATAAGCAGATTGATGAGAGCTATAAACACTTGAAACCCTGCATAAAATTTCACTGCACATGGAAAACTCCCCTTATGATATTCGTAAATAAATATACCACCTTGAGGAAGAAGTCAGACACGTACAACTTTAGGTCAGCTGCGGTAGGATTGGGCAGTTTGGTCGTTTGCAACCCTTACAGTCCCCATCACAGTTCCTGTACTGACACCGATGTTCATACAGCTGGTTTATAACCCACACCCAGGCTGAGATCTCAAGGTGTATCAGCCCATTACTAAAGTCTCTTTCATGGTCCATGTGGTAGTTGTTCAATCCGATGCAGCATCTACTGCCCAGTTTTTTTTGGGGAATGTGGTGATGGTGCAGGAAAACACGTTCAAGTGCTGGGTGCAGCTCAAGCTGTGGCATGTTGTAACGACCCCTGAACTCATGCTTACCTGCTGCACCCAGTGCCATGGTCCTTCTAATTTTGTCCATAGCCTGCCAGATGCACCTGGTTATGATGTGACATGGTGCAGCCTGATGCTCTGAAGAATTTGCTACTAGAAGGATGCACCCCTCTGTTATGCATCCTCAAAGATGTGTTGGTGTTTATTTGTGCCATATGCCTGTGTACTATACATACCAAATGTTATGTTCTGGGTTTATTATGTGTAATTATTAGTAACACATAACAAATCTGAAAACCCAAACAATGCAGCACTCAATTAAATAAATCAGAGCAAGCTTTTGTTTTCATCTGGGGAGAAAGGCATTTTCTCAAGGATAGACTAATGCCTATGAAATGAGAGGAAAACTGTCCTTTCCCTGCCCATGTCACACTTCTGGTGACTTATCTGGAGGCTGTGGCCTGGCTGAAACATCCTTGGCATGAGTGTCTGTCGACAGGGATATTAATGACAAAGGGAATATGTCTCCTGGCTTTCTACTCCCATCTCTTGTTCAATGGGATGCTTTTATTCGCATTTCCATGAGGTAAGCAGTTGATAGGGACTGTATGATGGCAGGGAACTGCCAGCTTTGTTCCTTGTCACACGGTCAAAGCAGGTCTTCTCCACAGGTGAAGGAGATGGCAGGAGAAAGCTCTGTGGGATTACTTCAGCCAATGTCCTTCTCAGGCACTGGCTTCTTCTATTTTGTCTGCTCCTCTGCTGCCAATCTGAAGGGGTTGTGAGAAGACAGGGAAAGGAGTTGAATCCTTACAACCACTCAATTTATGGACACATTCCCTATATCTGCCTAATCACTGTTACTTAATTAGTGCTGTCTGAGTAGATGATACATATCCTAGCTCACACGGTTTGGCCGTGGCTACATCACCTCGTCATCTGTGGTGGAGCCTTCCCTTTCCAGTGCCCTGATGCTTCCACAGTGTCTTTCCCTTTTTTTGTGGGTGTGTGAGTGACAAACTCAATGCAATATCCCCCAAAAATTTTTAGCCCATTGTCAACCCTCACATTTTCTCACCAACCCCCTTGCATCCTTGCTGTCCCACATTCCACAGCTGCACAGATGGCCAGAAACTTGTGAAGCGCAACTTGGAAAGCACTGCCCTGGAGGACCCAGGACCAAGGATGCCGTGTTCTCACCTTCTGCTCCAATCCCCACAGGTGACCCCGCGGCAGAGGAGTGGTCTCCATGGAGCGTGTGTTCAACCACCTGCGGGGAGGGCTGGCAGACCAGGACGAGGTTCTGCGTGTCGTCTTCCTACAGTACTCAGTGCAGTGGCCCTCTCCGGGAGCAGAGACAGTGCAACAACTCTGCCGTGTGCCCAGGTGGGCTGAGACCTCCATGTATGCATGGGCAGGAGGGGAAGGGAGATGCACAGAGGACTGTGATATCTCCACTGTGATATCTACTTGGAGGGAGGTGTTTTTTGGTTCCTCTTCTTTCTCTTTTTACCCTAAAGCCTAGTATAGAGACCTTTGCTAGACCAAGCACCACTAGATGGGTGCTTGTTATGCATGGTAGGGACAATTCCATGCTATCTAAAGGCAATGATCACAGTACATCTGAAAGTCTGTGGCCTTTCGGGTGTTTCTAAGCATGGGGCAGGAAAGGGAAGCACCAGATGACACTTTCAGTTGCTCAGATGCCAACACTGCGCATACCATTGCAAAATCAGCATGAAAAGCTCAGGCTGCTGGTATGAATGAAGCCAGCCATCGTGTCTGTTTTCATACTCCACAGTTTTGATGCAAATGTACAGTCTGGGGAGCCTGGATATTATTTTGAAGAATTATGCTATTGAAGCAGGTGTGTTGTTCACGACTCCTGACCAGGAACACCATTGTTCAGAACAAATCTTACAATGATGAAACCACCAAGCTGTTTTCTCATGCTCTTTCCTGCATTTCCTCCTCTAATTATCTCTTATCATGCAAGATGCCTGGTGACAATGGCAAAATTTAAGTTTGAACGCCCTTTCCTGATACTGGTGGATCAGTCACTGTTAGCAACTGATGAAGGACTGGAAAAGTACCTGTTTGGTTGTTTGTTTGTTTTTTTTTTCTAAAGCATTATTGATTTTGTGTTAACTTCTCAGGTAAAGATGGAAGGGATGAAGTCCCTTAAGAGAGATCAGTACATTTTTGTACTCTAGAGATTACAGTGACTAACCTTCCATAAATAACCTGGCCAGATTAGATTAGATTAGATTGAAGAAGATTAGATTAATATAGATTAGAAGGCTTTAGATGTCTAATTCCAGGAGTTACCAATGATGGCCTGAGCACTATTGGAGCACGTTGCCCATCCCGTTTTGTTCTTCCAAGTCTCCCAAGCTTTGCTCCTGTGGTGTCAGTGATGTATGACAGTAACTAGTAGCCAAACTACAGCTTTTCTGAGAGCTTGGGAATGCATTATCCTTTGACAAGTTAATGAAAAAATGTGTTGAGAGAGGGAAATAAGGGTAAGAAGTGACAAAATTATGATGATGCTTTCCAAAGGGTAGTGGGGTTTTTTGTTCCTCCTTAGATAATTGAATCTTTTTGCTAAAAAAAATTGTCCTTTTCTCTTGGCTCAAAACCCTAAAAAAATGAGGGTCAATTAAAAGTGCATTGTGATTGATTTCAAATAGACTGGAAAGTAACAGATACTTGGTGTTGATATCAAAGCATTAAAAAATTACATGATGTTCCTCTTGCAGATTTTGGGGTTGGTCTGTTCTTGGCCTTTCCACGCTCACTTCTCACATGCTGGGTGGGAAGGTGCTGTGCTCTGTGGGCTCACTTTCTTCTCCAGACCTCCTTTGGAAAGGAAATTTACTTCTTCTTCTTTGATTGCAGTGCATGGCACCTGGGATGAGTGGTCTCCATGGAGCTTGTGCTCTTCCACATGTGGGAGAGGGTACAGGGATAGGACCCGCACATGCAAGCCCCCACAATTTGGTGGGAATCCTTGCGAAGGCCCAGAGAAGCAAACAAAGTTCTGCAACATTGCGCTTTGCCCAGGTAAGGCAGTTAGAGATTCGAAGCCTTCCCTCCTGCAGGTCTCCCCATCTCTGAAGGTGCCCACATGTAAGTCATCAAGCGGGTCTGTAGCTGTGTCAGTTGAATGAGCACACAGTCTGCACTGTCCTGAAGAGGATCCTCTATAAGGAAAAGACACATTGTAGGAGTAATCTAGAGGTGTTTTCTGGCTTATTCGGCTCAGTATTTTCTTAGGTTTGGATTTGCCCTGTGTAACAACTTATTGAGAACACTCGGTTACATGGGTTGGATTGGGACTGGCTCAGCTATCACTACTGTTTCCAAGACCTTCTTAAGCTTCTTGAAAGGCTGAGAGACCTGAGTCTGTTTAGCCTAGAGAAGACAAGACTCAGAGGGGATCTCATCAAGGCTTATCAATATCTAAAGGATGGGCATCAAAAGGATGGGGCCAGACTCTTCTCAATGACAGGACAAGGGGTAATGGACACAAAATGGGACACAGGAAATTCCATGTCAACATGAGGAAACACTTCTTTCCTGTGAGGGTGCCAGAGCCCTGGAACAGGCTGCCCAGAGAGGGTGTGGAGTCTCCTTCTCTGGAGATATTCTAAACTTGCCTGGATGGGTACCTGTCCAACCTGCTCTGGGTGACCCTGCTTTGCCAGGGAGGTTGGACTAGATGATCTCCAGAGGTCCCTTCCAACACCTGCCAGTCTGTGATTCTGTGATTCCCACTTGTTATCTCCAGTGAATGTTTCAAAGTTATTTTGCCTGACTGGGCTTGTTATTGTGTTGGAATTAATTAATAGTTCTACATCCTAGCAATATACGTGCATTAATTCATTGTATGTGCAAGTTTCCTCTGTACTTGATCCTGTTTGATTGGTGAGATGGGCTCAGAGACTCCTGAGAGTCCTCCATGCCATATTTTAATACTTTTAAATACCTTTTCCCTAACTTTGGATTTCACTTCCAAATGCCTCTCCCCAAGTCTTGCTTTGAAACCTCAAGAAAGAAACCTCAGTATTTAATGTCTTTTACCCACTGGAAATCCACTTGCACTCCTGTGGCTTCCTTCAGCTGAACCATGCCCTGGGTTTGCTCCAGAATCCCCATTAATTTAACTCAGGGGGTGCTGGTGAACATGAGCTGGACACAAGGGACCTCCCCAACAGTCCTCCCATCTCCCAGGGTAATGTCAACTGACATTTTCCAGTTTAATGAGAGTCATTATGAGACATTATTATGTCCCCGGAGGAGGAGAGGGATTGTGGGAGTAATGAGAACTTTGTGAAAACATTTGTGAGAAGCCTCCTGGCATTTCCCACCCAGTTTTCACCCCAAGTAACTATCCTTGGATTTCTGGCTGCTCTCCAGAAGACTCTGCTGGGAATAAGAACATCCCAGACACCAAATTGACTCTGTCATAAAAAGACAAATTGAAGAAGTCAGACCTGGCGTTGCTTGGGCAATAAAGCATACCCCGAGTTAACATTGATCCATAATTAATTTAAATACAAATAAATACGTGGATACACTGCAGTGAACAAAACAGTGATGGAAAAGACAAGCGGTCCAACTGCAAGACTTCATCTCTAATTAATGCCACAAAGGCAATCAGTGGCTTTGCAGTGCCAAATGAGTGCAGCGTTGGGGGACTCATTGAAGCACAACAATGGGAGCTGCTCAGAGCTCGACACACCAGACGGTCATATCGCTTATTACCGCCCCGCTCTGAGGATTTATTCCTACAACGGATAAAAACGTTCTGCTGCAGGGACAACAAAGCTTTTGTTCCTCTGGAGCACTAAATATCACAGGCTGAGCCCCAAGTCCTTCAGAGAGAGAGAGAAGGGGGAAGACAATGCCAGTCTTTGCACAGACTAGACCAGCCAGACTCCAATGAACATTTTTGATAGACTCGCCCTGCAGTGTGACAATGGCATTGAGCAGCTCTGAGGGACAGCCCTCAGCATCTTGCCCAAGAGACGTCTTTACATCAGCGTGTGCGGCTGGAGGGATAGAGAAGAACATGACTTGTGCTCCTGATCCCTTGACCAGTCATCCCAAGGTCCTGAAATTGCCCTTGGACTTCTTTTCTTTACTTCTTCACTGCCTATCTGGAAGATCAAAAGGGGGTGATAATCTGAGGACCATACTAGGGAGGGAGGCTTCTTCTTTATATCACTAACCAGTGCCTGAGAGAGGCAGCAGACCATCCAATTTAGTAGATGTGGTCTGCATATCAGGCCTTTTGCTCCCTTCAGTAGCAAGTCACCTATGAGAATGGCCCATCTTTTATTCTTTACAGCAGATTTTTTAATGCGGGGGTGGTCCAACTAGATCTTGAGGATACCTCCAAGCTGGAAGAACTGTCTTCCTCATTGTTGTCCAGTTCCCCTTGTAGAACAAGCTGCTCTTGTTCTGGTCTCTTCAGCAAGTGGTTGTGGTAAGCTCACAGTTGTGTTAAGCTTCCAGTCACCACTTGCACAGCCACAGGTAGGGCTTTTTTTTAGTAAAAAATGCAATTTTTTTTAGTAGACGCAACATTTACTTTGGTAAATGTAATCTGACTTTTCCAATGTAGGGGAATGCTGATGAGGGGCAGACACTGTCAGCTCACGGAAACTAGCAACGCTACCTTCAATCAGAAAAGCCAAGCTGATTTACACCTAGTAGAACCTATTTTGTGGATTTTTGAATCTTTTCTAGAGAGGAATCACCTGTCAGTCACCACTTCTTGCATTTCTCTTCCTTGGGATTGATAGGCGCTGACATGATGCCTCGAATTTATGCACAATGAAAACATCAAGCTCAGATTGCTAAAAACAAACACCTTTTGGAAGTACCTGTGTGTCTGTCTGATTTTTTTACACCTTCTGAGCTCACGTGAGCACCTCTGAGTTAACTCATTTGGAGTTTGAGTTGCTCATTTGGATGTTTTTTACAGTTGTTTTCCCATGCTTGCAAACAAAAAGCTGCACAACCGCAATGGGGATTATTCAGGGCTGTTCGAGTCCTTGCAGATTGCACAGGGGACAAGGTTGCCTATATATTTTGACTGAAAAGCAAAGCCAAAAAAAAAGAAAAATGAGCTGAAATCTACAGCAATGTGATTTGAGCCAAAATTCAGACTTTTCAGGGATTCAAGTCGTTTTTCGGAGCGAGAGCTAGCGAGAGCTAAACAGAGCATGATGACCACTGCTAATGAGAAAAAAGTGCTCCAGCAATAGCAGACTGGGTGATGAATCTGTTGATCAGGGACCAATTAGAGTGTAGCTGCCACACTTGGGAATGCCGCACACTGTACCACGCTAATAAGATGTATTCATGTTTCTCTCCAACCCTGTCCCTATCATAACCTCTCTTGTCTCTCCCTCCTCTATTTAATTATCAAAGACTTTGCTGTGTAGAATCATATCAAGCCTGTCAGTGTTAATTCAGCCGTGGGAGAAGTACATTGACCACACACGTGCCCTCTGTTCGTGGTCTCCTGTTGGAACACACCTTTTCTCTGAGCATTTCCCGGCTAGCACCGTGAATTCCTGTGAATAACTCTGCAATTCAAGTGTCTGCCTGTTTTTTAATGAAAAACAGAGCATTTGGGTGCTTGAGAAACTTCTTTCCCTGCAGACTCATGCATTGTTTTGGTGAAAAATTGGTTCCCTCAAAAAGTGTTGATTGCCCAGAATGGGAGATGTCATGGTAATGTATTGATTCCTTCAAAATTTTCAGTGAAATCATGATCCATGCTCTTTTTTTTTTTTTTTTTCTCTTTTATGTTGTGATCAGCAGTATTAATAGTTTTGACTTTTATGTTGGAATGTGTAATATCAATAATTTCAGCTTTCATGGTGTTATGTATGGACATAAAAATTGAAATGTTATGGCACTTGCATCCTGCCAGGCCGTAACATATCCATTGGAGGTTCCAGAGGATCCCAACAAATTGCTGTTGCCACAGTAGTCTGAACTTTTTCCTGATGATCTTTGCCCTCTCTAACACTCTGTGACTCCAGTTTGTCCTTCCCTGCCTTGGTTCCTTGTAGGCAAAGGCCAGAGACTGTTGAATGTACCTCTTTCCAGAGGGTGCTATTTTCACATTCCGCTTTGTTTTCTCTCTTTGGGCCACTCAGTGGACGGCAACTGGAATGAGTGGTCGAGCTGGAGCTCTTGCTCCGCTTCCTGCTCCAACGGCACCCAGCAGAGGACAAGGGAGTGCAATGGACCCTCCTACGGGGGAGCCGAATGCCAGGGACACTGGGTGGAGACCAGGGACTGCTTCCTACGCCAATGTCCAGGTCAGTGACAAATAGCTTTTTGTTTCTCTTGGATCATCCTTCTCTGCAGTCCCAGGCAGGCTTTTGTAAAATCTCCTTCTACTCTCTTTGGAGAAGAGTTTCACAGTTTTCACCAGTAATACACTAATAAGGAGGTGGTTGATCATACCAATAGACCATGCAAGCCAAAATCCATGAGATCCCAGAGAGGTGAATGATTACCCACAGGAAACGTGTCTTTCTGCCCTTAGATACCAGTTTCCAGCTTGTGCTTAAAAAAGATGAACAAAATACCAATGAAACCCTTTCCATGTCTCCACAGTGCTTCAACTTTTCTCCTCTTTTTTCTTTTTTCTGATTCATCTCCTACCAGTTCGCCACTCCTAGTTGCAGGTGAAGCAAACAGGGAATAACCACTATTTTATCACAGCTTTGAACCTTATCCATGTCAACGTCTGGCACAATGAAGGCTTGATTCATGCCTATCTAAGACTTGTCACTTTACTTATCTAATTGTGTCTCTTAATAATAATAATAATAATAATAATAATCATCTGTGTCTCTTAATAATAATAATAATAACAATAATAACAGTAATAATAATAATAGCAACAATCCTTGCTGCCTCAGCTGTTGTAGCCAGTACTTTAAATTCAGAATAATCACCTTGTCTTCATACCATGGACCACAGGCTCCAGCAGAGCAATTTCATGCAGGAGAAGCAAAGAAAATTGAAGCAGATACCAGAGCACACCTAACACCAGGAGGCTTCATTTCTCAGATTGACACCGACACTACAGAGTTTCAAGTGCAGTTTCCTCCTTTCTGTGCAGAAGTCTTGGGGCACACCATTGCAAAGGGACTAAATGGGTCAGGTAATATGGAAATTATTCTGACCTGGAAACAAAGCTTGAACATCTAGAAGCCTTCAAGATTGATCAGCAACCAGTTTTTCTTGGCCCTTTCCCTGGCTCTTCCTGGGTACTCCATCCCTGTTAGACCATAGGACTGAGAGGGAGTGGGTCCCTGAGATGGAAAGGGTCTTTTTCCCCTTTCTGAGAGAACAGGGACAGTCAGAAACAGCTCAGCTCTTTCAGGTACTTCTCATACCTTGCTCAGGTGACCAAATTTTATTCTCTCCAATCCACAAGCATAGAAGTCAGTAGCTCTTCAGCCTGGTATACCTGTTTCCTCAGGGAATCCCTATCCTTTCCAGTAGCATCACCATCTCCAGCAGAGCATAAGCAGTATTTAACACAGATATTGCACTTTCCTATATGGTCTCTAGTAGGTTTTGGTGTTTAGGTATCTTCAAAGACAAAAAGGGCCTCACTTTTTTTAGACAAATTTGTCCCCCTGGTTTCAGAGTTAGTTATCAAAGCCATGTTGGTTGTGGCTTCCACGGCATGTGGTGTCACCAAAGAAAGCATCAGAGGTTGGTGCTGTCCCTTTACTATGATGATTTTCTTCTGCTTCTTGGAGAAGAAGAGAGGGATCCCCCACCCTCCCAAAAGGAATTGTTCAGCCCAAGATGACGAGCTAGCTCCTAATTAAAACCCAAATAGGAATCAGGAGATTTAGGTCTTTGCTCTAGTTCTGTCACTGAGTTGTTGTTTCTCATCTGTGATGCAGCAGAGGAGAATGTTTCCCTACCTTGCAGGCTTGTTGTGAGGCCTAATTAACATTTTTATAGTGCTTTGATAAATGCCATTGTTAATGTAAAAGAAGTAACATTTCCACTGAATCTGTAAAGATGTTGGGAGAAGATACACTGGAGGGAGACAACGTCCCAAACCTCTTTCCAAGGCACATGAAACAACATTGCAATGGGAGCAGCTGGAGGGAGGTTTGTTTGATGTTTCTTCATGGTTTCTCACCCAAGGGCCTTGTTCGTCTCTCTAAATCCCTGGGCCAGACCTCCTCTGAGAAGGTCTTGTTTTCATACACAGATTGCACATCCCAACCCAACTCAAGCTATGTACTTTGGCTGGCAGATGTGGTTGAATCCCTTCCCACCTGAAGAGTTTTTACATCACATGGCCCCAGATTTGAGCTGTTTTTGCAGGAGGTGAGGATACTGAGGAGAAACTCAGGAGTACCCTTAGCTATAAAAGGGCTGCCACAATGGGAAAGAGCACACACTGATTTCATGTCTGTTGATGATCAGACAAATATCCAGGGCTGGAGACCTCCTTTCCCACCAAGCCATGGTCTACTAACTCTATGTTCCAGTGTTCACCTTGGGACATTGCCCCCTTCTGTTGCCAATTATGTTTGGAACGTGACAGTTTGTTTCTCTCCTCTTTTTTGTCTCCAGTGGATGGGAAGTGGCAGGCCTGGGGAGTGTGGGGCAGCTGCACTGCCACCTGTGGAGGTGGGACTCAGAGACGTGACCGTGTGTGCTATGGGCCCTTCTTTGGTGGAGAGACTTGCCAGGGTCCCAAAGAAGAGTATAAGCAGTGCAATGACAGAAAGTGTCCTGGTATGTACCCCAAACCCTCATGTTTACTTTTGAAAAAGGGGACAGGGATTGTAAAAAGAGCATTTGTTTTCAGAGAGCTGAATGCAACAAGAAGTTGTGATCTAGTTGGACCCTGCCCATACCCCAGACTCAAGATACATCAAGGGCTGGATGTTATTATTGCCCAAACCAGTGACTTCAGTGCATGTTTGATAAGTCCCACCGGTCTGATGGTGACTTGATGGTTTTCATCTTTTCATTGCCATAGAGTCATAAGAGGAACAGACACACTCATAGCAAAACCTGGTATCAGAGTCTCAAGTCCATGAAGCAGCTGAATACTGAGGATGCTGCAGTGGTTTCCCACCCTTTACCCAGTCTACATGAGACCTGCACATCACTTAATTTAAAAAAAAAGATAGATGTGTCTACACCTGTCAGAGCCTTACCCAATCTCACCTTCCCTCCAGCTACAGCCATGGGAGCAGCATCCATTTGAGAAAAAAGGGTGCAAAACCCTGAACGGAGGACAAGTGAGTTGTAGGACCGGGGAAAATCTGGGGTATAAAGTGAAAGATGAGCAAGAGCAAACACTTGCAAGTGGGAAAGTTTCTGTCTGTCTCTCACACATTATACAGAGGCCAGAAAAAAGTGTACTGTTTTTATTTTCTTTCTCAGTCACAGTTGAAGCGCCCGGTGAAATTGCTGGTGGGGAATCAATGACCTATGTGATGCTGGCAGTCAGATTGCATCGATCGTTAACAGGTCCTGATTTTTGACCAAAAGGGTAATTAATTGTCAGAGCAGCTGGGTGAGAGGCAGGAGAGGTTCTTGTGGCGGTATCCTGGCTATTGTGGTGAAAAGGGGTGTCTTTCCAAAAGATGGGCTGGAGCTCAGCGCCGAGGTAACGGTGCTGGTGCAGACACTTCTGGAGGCGGATCTGCCACTTTGAGGACAGCTGACCCTGAGCCTCCCTTGCAAACTGCTGAAGACAAAGATAAAAGCCAAAGCACTCCAGCGTGGAAGTTTCAACCCGTTTAGCTCGAAGATAACAGAGGAAAGAGGCTATGTGGCTGAGGCAGCGTATTCACTCTCTGCAGCTACGCTCTAATAAAAGACATCACCTCTCCTTACAAGCTGTGCCTCTCAATTAGCAGTGGCGTGTGAGAGTCTCTTCTAACTCAGCCACAAAGCTCTCCCTCGCCATGGAAAATCGTAGCACCGGGTTGTCTGGTGGTGTCTACAGAGCGATGCAGATTTAGTTCAGCTTCAGTGTGTGCCAGCTGGGGCCCCGGCAGAACAAGCCCAACCTTTTCTTCTCTTTCCGCAGGGGTTGATGCCTGCACAGTGCTCAAAAGGAACAGGGATGTCTCAGGGACTGAGCCCTGCTAGGGTTCAAAACCAGAAGGGTCTCGTTGCAGTTGTTAATTTGCAAGGGAAGGAAAAGGTGGGGAGTCGTCAGAGGCTAAAAATAAACCCGCTCAATTTGTTCCCAAGAAAGTACCAAATGCCGGCATGATTTGATTTGAACAGAAGAATTGAGCTTAATTGGGTTAGTTATTAAAATCTCCCAGTGCAAATAGGTTACTCTGGTAAAAAGGATTTTGTTACGAAGCAACATCAAAAAGAAAAAAAAAAAAGAAGAAAAATAAAGAGGATGAAATAATTCTCAATGATTCTCTCCTGGCGTGGGAATTGCTCCTGCACTCACTGGCAAGACAATGTCAGATAATCAGTGTATTTCTAAAGAGCATCTCTGATCCACAGCATCCCTCAGTGGTCCCCAGGGAGACTGCAGGGGTGGTGAGATCGGGAAGGTATGACAGGTCAGAGGAGGAGAAAGGGGAGGTCAGATGTGAACACACTCCCTCCCTGCTTTTTGATGTGCTCTGTTGTTTTGTAGCAGAGAATGCTAGAAGCTTCTCACTCCATGCCCCATACCCTCCTTTGAGCCCCAATTTGAGTGGAGAATCTGTGACCATGGCCAAAGCTGGTCCAGGAGGCAGGAGTATTGCATTCAGCTCCCTGCTCTGCCACGAGCTCTCTGGGTGACCATGTGTAGGTCACAACCGGGTGACTTAATCTTACTGTCCTGCAACTCTGTGTCAACAGGTTGGACATAAAACTGCCTCTTTTCCACCCGTGTTTTGCCATATCTACAGGAGTCATAAGCTGTTGGCATAGGGACTATTTCTGCATATGTGCAGAGCACAGCAGGGGTCCTACTTTCCCTCTGGGATTTCATTATAATAGAGATTACTCAAAAGGGAATTTTAAAACAGAGGAAGGAGCATCTGCTTCCAAGCACTGTTCATTACCAGTGTCTACTGGGGAGGAATCTGTCTTTGAACAGCAGCTGGGGCTGGTGTCACGCATTCTTGGAGCTTGATTCCAGGAGCAGTGATGTATAGGGAGCTTGTTGGGAGTGGTATGAGTCCTTCAAAGAAGTAGCACTTGCCATGCACATAATTTTTAGTTTGAGAGTTCCCCACAGCCAGGTTGGTGCTCCGGGTAGTTTCAGAGCAACACTGGGGTATGTCCATCACTGAGTATTTGCTCCCTGACACAGGTCCTAAAATGGTCTAGGTAAGTACATCTATTGCACAATCCCTTGTAGAAGGAAGCCTTCAGGGTCATTGCTGCCTTGTAATATGAAAACTCAAGGCCTCCCTCTTTTTTTATGGCAGATATACACTTTCCCTACAACCTTCTCTGCTGGCATCACTAGACCCCAGTATGGGTGGCTTCCAGGCTCCATCGCTGGTTGGCTTTGGCTCCCTTTCCTGACCAGTTGCAGGCATGCAGTCAGCTTCCTCTTTATTGATAGTTTTTCATACACAATAAATAAAAGCTGCAATTAAAAACCGTTAAATATATTTTTTCCTCCTGCTCATCCTCAGGAGTGATAAGCAGCTTTAACACCATCTTCATGGAACCCTCCATTTTACATGCTGCAAGTAATGAGGTTCTGAGCACAAATCTCTCCTGCAGGGAATGTTTTTTTCCCAATTCCCACCAACTCTGGGGCCAACTCAGCTCCACCCACAGACCGAAGCATCTGAAAACCTCCTTCCAAAGAGCTTTTTCTGTGATGTCTCAAAACACATTTCTGCAGCCTCCTGCACTCTGCAGCAGTGTTTGGAAACGAGCTGCTGATGCAAATCCAGCCTGTTGTTGCTCAGATCTTCTCCTTGTGTCCTCGCATAAGCTGGCTGCAGACAGAGGACCTGAGTGAAGTCCACCCAGGGGATATGTCCTCCTTGTTTTTTCATCTCCTTTTTGTTCTTTCCTTCATTTTTATTCCAATTTATTTATGCTGAGCCTCATTTTAGACATTTCCAACCCTGAAGGTGGAGACCCTGAAGGATGGAAGGAGTAGAGTTCGGAGCCATGGAGTTCACCCACAATAGGTGGACATCTGCCCATGAAACAAGAAAAGAAAACTCTTTAGTAGGATGTAGCAATGACAGCTTTCTTGCAAAGAGCTGCCACAAGGCAAGGCAAGCGTGTTAGTGGACTTTCCCAGGTTGTTACATGCATATTAGCAAGCTAATCCTCAGGATGGATGGACGCCCAGTTTTCAGACAGGCAGAGCAAATTCCCAAGAGGTTAAGTGGCTTTGTCAGGGGCCATGTGCCAAGCAGCTGTGGAGCTGGGAGTTCACCTCCAGGTCTCCTGGCTCACATCACAGTGCTGTTCCCTCCACACCACACTCCCCTCTTTTCTCTTTCCATTCCTTTTTCCATGTCCTTCCTGAGGAGGAGGCTTTACCAATGCAATTTTTCCTTCCTTGCAGAGCCCCATGAAATCTGTGATGAGGAAAGTCTTGGCTCTGTGGTTTGGAAAGAGACGCCTGCAGGGGATGCTGCAGCTGTCCGATGTCCTCGCAATGCCACCGGTAAGGATGACTGCATGCCTTGGCTGGGGAGCTGGCCCACCCTCGGGGCATCCTTCATCCCTTACCTCCTAGATGAGGAAAACCTGGTTATGGGAGGACAGGACAAGCAAATCAACTTCATTTCCTTCACTCAGAGCTAAATCAACTCTCTCTGGGTTTCTGTGGTCCTTCACTGTTTAACAACTTCTCGGTTCATCCTGGAGGATCTGAAGTGGTCCCCCATCCACCTACTGCCTAGTCCTGGGATAGCTTTGCAATTAAGGGTGATTGTGGTATGTTTTCCCCATTACCTACAGCTTTTCAGAAGTAGATAGGGCTTAATTACAGTCCTCAAGACTTGAGCATTATATTTCTCTCCACTGCTGACAAAAGAAGCTAGTATCTGAAGGTAGGAAATCTGAATTTTATTGTCCACTCACACTTAGGTGCTTTCCTCTCCTTCTTAGAAACCATAGAAGCTCTCTAAAAGTATATTCAGGTGCTCAAGTTGACAGTCTGACCATGGTGAAGTGATAGGATCTGGACATCCAGGTGATGTCTGTTGTGATCATGGCCACACGATCCCCACGGAGTGAAAAGCAATGCAGAGAAGGCTCCAGGAGACATGCTGGTGGTAGAGCTTGCCCTCAGCTGGCTGGGTCTTGGTCTAAGGCAGGAACAGATATGAGGGCAGCAGTGTCAGTAATGAAGGTAAAGCTTTTATTTTGCTTGAGTGAGGTTGTTGAATACAGACAAACCCTGCAGCTCTCTTTGACTCACACAGCCTGGGACAGACAGTGTCACCCCAAATGCTAGCCGAGAAGAAGACCTGTACCCATAGCAAAGTCACTGAATCATTTAGCAGTAGAAAGGGGATTGTGGACCTGGCAAAACCTGCTCCTCAGAGACTCTCCAAATGGCAGCATAATTGCTCAGGCAAGGTGATCCCTCTCCCCTTTCTCCTCACTGATGTATCTGTTTCTCTGCATCGCAAAGGCATGTGATCACCACTGCGAAACTCACTGTAGGCTGAAGCTAAGGAACGGCTTGGGGGAGGATCACAAGCAGCTTTCAGAGTTTTTCAGCTGAGGCAAAGATGGTGCTGTCGGATATTTATTCTCCTCGAGACTGTGTAGGCAGCACAAGCCACTGTGGCTGGGTTTGCTGCAAGTACCAGACCATGCCACCTGGGGAGGCTCGTGGAGCTTCCTGAGCCAGGGAGAAAGCTGCCCTCCAGGGCACCAAAAACCTTCTTTCACCTTAACCAGCCGTGCCCAATTTGTTAGGTTTTGTTTTCATTCCCAATTCCTTTTGCTGTCCTGCCCTGCAGTAAGAGAATGAGGTAGAAAAATTAGAAGTAATCTCTCCTACAGTCTTGTACATGTTATTCAAGCACCTGCAGATGCCCCTGCTGCCCTTTGTGCTGGTAGGTGTGCCTATGTGGAGGCATTGACCAGTTCTGGGTGGCCTCCATGAGGGTCCTTGGCTTTTCATCCCGCTGTCCCCGCTCCCCTATTAATGTCTTTCCTCTTCCAGGGCTGATCCTTCGAAGATGCATTTTAGATGAAGAAGGGATAGCTTATTGGGAGCCTCCAACATACATCAAGTGTGTTTCTATTGATTACAGGAACATACAGATGATGGTAAGGCTGACTGACTTCTCAGCTCAGCAGGTTTGGGATCTCCCCAAATGCTTGTTACACTGTTGTAGTTACCAAAAAAAAAAAAAAAAAAAAAAAAAAAAAGCAGCATTTCCATGGGAAAGGGAGATGCCAGCTCTGCCCTGCTTTTCTCTTACTGTTTTTGACTACTTATTTGTGATGCATGGGCACTCCATGGGCAAGGGATGGTTCCTCACTGAGTATTTTAATATCTAGCTTGGCAGAATCCAGGTCCTCTCAGGTCTTTCCAATCACATTATTGATAAGAATCTCTGTGATTGTATCACTTTTAAATAAGTTACTTATTTTTTGTTAGTCTTAAAATCATTGCTGTGATGAATTTCTGGTGATCTCCTATGGCTTGCCTTAAACAGCATTACCTTCATGAGAACTGTCCTCTCCTGTTCAGGGAAAGTTACAGTCTTTCCTAAAATATTTTCAAATTAGCTATAAGAAAACAAGGTTCTGGGGCAAAAATCTTCTGTTAGCTGGCCTTGGGTTATTATCAGAATAGTGTCTGTGTAATGGAATAATCTATTCTGAACCTACACACAAGCTTTCCTTTGTGGGCAAGCAGAAAATTTCACTTCTGTTCTCCTACTGTTTTAAAAATATCACAGGCTCTCGCCGCAGCAAAATTTGTCAGATTCATCTAGTCTGCACTCTGAATTACAAGGAAGGTCACAAACCTTCCCCCAGCAATTCCTTCACTGAGCTCATTAACTTGACTTTGACTGTCACTAAAGTGTTTGTCATGTTTCTCAGACCAGGGAACATCTCTCCAAAGCTCAGCGTGGGTTGATGGGAGACGGGCTGTCGGAAGTGCTCCATAACCTTGTGGAAATCTCCCAGGACGGGACCAGCTACAGTGGGGACTTGCTGTCCACCATCGACGTACTCAGGAACATGACAGAGATCTTCCGTAGGGCTTACCATAGCCCAACTTCTGGGGATGTGCAGGTGAGTTGAGATGCATATCCTGGAGACCAAGGCTAGGTTAGAGGTGTGTGTGCATGCACAGGGGTCAGGGTTTGATTACCTCCTTTGTAGCTGACAGAATGCTGATGAAAAGCTGGAGTATTTTCTGCCCCAGTGAAGCATCTTTGTGTGTTAAAAACTCTCCTACCAAGGTGGTTCATCCTGGCTTGTAAAGTAAGAACTTGAAAACCAATGTTACTCTAAACTATTTCAACCTGATAGCAAGGTATTGTGGAGTCTAATTGATCTAAGAATGTTATTTGGAAGGCACTGCAGCCTAATGACCGGAGATAAGAGGATCCTGTGGTATTGCATAGCTAGATGTTGACATAGGAGAATGTCTTGATGGCTTCTCATCCCAGGGTTTTGCTTTCAGCAGCTGCCTGCAGAGTGGCTACAGGATATACCCTGGGGACAGGTCATTACTCCATGGCTCGAAACATTAAACTGATCCTACAGGATCTGCAGTGGCTGGTAAAACTAGAGAAAAAAATCAATGGTCTTGAAATATCTTATCTCCTTCCTTCTCATAGTGTGCTGCAAAGATATCACCATGCATAGCACCCTCTTGATCAATCGCTGCTTCTCTTGCGTGGTTGCAGACTGAAGAGGATTGTAAGGTTTCCCTGTGCTGGAAATAACAAAAATAGTAGAAACTAAGATAGGAATGGATTTTTACAATACAATATCATCTGGTTTTAATGAGTTTCTGACACACATCTACCTAATACCCTCTTAGCTTTCAGTAATGGATACAGGCCATATTCCCAGTCCAATGCCTTATCAGATACAACAGTCAAAGTGAAGGCCTTTGGAAAAAGGCCTTACAAAAATCTGTTTTGTTGTTATTCTTGTGTGGAGAGGCCTGTGAATTGTTGTAGGACCCTTTGGGAATGGGACCATGAGAACCCTCCTTGGATCACGGTTGATTCTCACATGTTCCTTGCACATCACTGTGCCCTTCTTAGCCTATGCTACACTTGGCTAATCATCTCTTTTTCCCTCTTTTGTCTCCCCTCTCCAGAACTTTGTCCAGATCATCAGCAATCTTTTATCGGAGGAAAACCGGGAAAAATGGGAGGAAGCACAGCTGGTATGAACCTTCAGCACCTTCCCTGAAACAAACAGGAATTCAGCATAGTTTTGAGCTATGACAAGGGGAATTTCCAAGGGTCTACATCACCTCCTAGCTCTTCTTGCCCATGTTGCATTGTGTGCAAAACATTTCTGTTTGAACAACAGACCTCAAAATATCTCCATCCTTCAATGCTGTTCTCCTTGGATAAATCCTTATGATGGAGGAGACAGCCAATCCAGACACGGTCAGCTGTGGTCAGCTTCCGAGTTGACTGCCAATCAGCTGATTCATGCAACTGGTCACGCGTGTGAGCTCAGTCAAGGCTGATTCATATTTATGGAGTATAACTCAGTGAGCCACAGGATCTCAGCTCTAAGCCAGAGTCTTCGCATGAAGAGCAGTGAAAAACTGGTAGTGAATACCAAATTTTGGAGAGCTCTCAGAGGTCAGGCTTGGTTTGGAGTTGAGCTTCTGGTTCTCAGAAGGGTTCAGCTATATTTATTTCCCTCCTCTCAAGGTTGGGGATCCTGCCAAATAATTCTGTGGCTAAACCCTCATGTATTAGGGGAAGGCATTTTTTGTTTTCCTATCCATGTTTAATTTGCCCCTTGTCTCTTCTGCTCCTGTTAAACTCTCTGTTTGGGCTTGTGTGAGACCTATTCCTTGTCCGTTTCCCTTTCTCTTGGCGAGCCCTTGGGCTTCTCGGTGTTGTCATCTCACTACAACCTTTGTGGATTACATCAGAGTGAAATAGTTCTGCCTCAGACCAGCAACTCTGGTGGATGGGTGCATCTTAATGCCCATTCCTTCCACGTTCATTCCTCCTTATTGCATCTTGGAGAAGAAACAACAGCTACCTTGGTCTAAGCTTGAAAAATAACCTGCACAAGGAATATAACTCAGCCTTTGTGAGAGACCAGGCCTGTGGAAGGTACTCAGAGGTGTGGATCAGAACATGGCAGCTCCCTTTTAACCACCGGTTACTGCTACAAAATTCCTTGGAGAGGTCAGGAAATACTGAACAATCAAGCAAAAATCACCCAGCACAAAAAAGTAGCCTCAGAGTCCAGTTACACTCACACTAACCAGGGAAGTCCTCTGGGAAGAACTCTTAATAGTAGGTGCTGGCACAATTGGCAGTCCAGAACGTGAGACGGGGACATGAATACAGTTTCTTCATGCAACAGAAACTCCATCAGGAGCTGAGCACCCTTTGAACCTGTCCTTCTCCTCTCTTCTCACTGAGATCTGGTGGCTTCCCATGGCATTTGGAAGAAGATGATGTGGACTGGGTCCAGGAGAAATAAAGGACTCAACTGGGCAACTGGCTTTAGATGGCCCTGTTTGGTCAGACCTGTTGGACCAGATGACCTCTGAGGTCCCTTCCAAATTCAGCTTTTCCATACTTCTGTGAGTCTGTGACCAAATAACTCAGTTCCAAGCCTACAGGTGTGTGTACATATTTCTGCACAGAGCAGAGGAGACTGTCAAGTTGTCATGACAACAGGGAAACCCTGTTGATCCCCTTAAAAACAGCTGCAGCTTACTCTCTGTGCCAATTTATTCCCGCTGGCATTCCCTGCACAATCTGCTCTTTGCACCTATAGATAGATACAGCCCAGGCTGCTGCCAGCATCACCGTAACCTACACAAGGACTAGGACCATCACGGGGAGACAGTTTACCTGGTGTATATTTTTAGTGGGAACCAAGATAAGAGCCAGCACCACAACTTTGGGACGCAGAAATCTTCAGGTGCTGGATGACAACAGAGGTTTTGATGGTCTCTGTCCTTCTGCCTCAAAGCTGCTGGCCCAAACTCACACCCTGTGTTTCGCAAGGTGAACCAGTTCTTTTAAAACAAGGTCTTTGGCTCCCAATGTGCTCATTAAATTTACACCCAACTTCCTTGCAGACTCACATTCCAGCATCCTGTGCCCCCCTCCCCAGGCAGAGGTGTTGTTCAGGAAAAATAAAAACCAAAACAATGTAGAAAAATATTCAGAGAAGAGCTACCATGTTCTCTGAGGAGATTGTGTTGGCCATTATATGATAAAAACCTGAAAAGCATCAGTTAGTGTAGCCTGGGGTTAACATGACCTTGTGATTTCAATCTGTAATAGAATGTAAAAGTATACAGATAAAAATAGCTTCCTCACTCCTCCTCCTTCTGTGCACACCTGCTGTACTGGCAGGACTTTTTGATCTGATCCTGATACAGTTTTAGTGTTTCCAAGCTTCCTTCAGACACACAGACAGGCATGGCCACTCCTGTGCTCCTTGCCTGTACGCTCACCAGCTCAGCCTTCCTTTTTTCCTCCGTCCATCCCGCTGTCCTGTTTGTCCCCAGCTGTCCCTTCAGCTCTGCTCAGCCACCTCAGCACATCCTGATTATGGCGAGGAACCCAAAAGTGCTGTGAAAGTGGTGGAAAAGGAGACAAGGAGATGCAAGGAGTTGAATTACTTTTCCTCAGCCTCTTGTGGTATTTGCTAAGCCCCCGTAGGCAAATGTACTTTGAGGAAAAGCCAGGTAGTCAGCACAGCTCATTTCAGATTGATTATCTTGTATGAAATCTGTCACTGGAAAACTAGTTATTGTTTAACAGCCTTGTGTTAGCCTGGCAAAATATGAGTGAAGGAAAATTATTGCCAATAACTTTATCATTGGAGAAACATCAGGAAAGAAAAAGACAAAGAAACTCCAAGACAGCCCACACCCAGGAAGCAGCAACTTGATTATTTGGGGAGTGAAATCCTGCCAACAAAACAGGAAAGCACAAAAACGATGCAAGGACCTGAATTGCTTTTCCTCAGCCTCTTGTGGTATTTGCTAAGCCCCCGTAGGCAAATGTACTTTGAGGAAAAGCCAGGTAGTCAGCACAGCTCATTTCAGATTGATTATCTTGTATGAAATCTGTCACTGGAAAACTAGTTATTGTTTAACAGCCTTGTGTTAGCCTGGCAAAATATGAGTGAAGGAAAATTATTGCCAATAACTTTATCATTGGAGAAACATCAGGAAAGAAAAAGACAAAGAAACTCCAAGACAGCCCACACCCAGGAAGCAGCAACTTGATTATTTGGGGAGTGAAATCCTGCCAACAAAACAGGAAAGCACAAAACCAGACCATGACAATTTTATGAATAGGATTACGTGACCTGGTGTCTGACATTGGACCATGGAGAAACCTTCAGTGTGGCTGCTTCAGTGGAACAACAGCAAAATTAACTCTCCTGGTGGGGAGGTAATGTTTTGTGGGCTCTCTCTCAGTAGGTAACACATACGTACCATCAGAAGTAGTTCAAATATGTTTCTCAGGCCAAGTATCACAGTACCTGGGTGTCGGGGAAGTCTGAGGCTTGGGGAAGGCTCTCAGAATTTGACAAAGGGCAAAGCTTCAACACGAACATTTTCGCTCTGGCACAATGCTTCTGGATGTGCAATTGCAAATGCCTCTGGCTTGTTGACATCTAGGCTGGGCCAAATACTCCAGTCAATGGACTTGGAAAGAAAAGTGGAGCTCTATTAAATCATGGCTGCTAAGAGTCTGTCCTAGTGCATTTCTCTTCTTGCATTCACTGTGGGAGCAGGACCACAATGAACACCAGCAGTATCTTACCTGCTTAGAATGGGTTTGTTGGTAGTAGAGGCAATCCTAGGGGAGGAAAGGAGATGGATAGTTTATCTTCTGCTCCAGAGAGTCTCAGATATTTCTCTTTGCTTTAAGATATTGCCCTCCACCCTAAGTTTTATCAATCTGAGAGCCATATTATTTTTTGCCCCTTTCTTTTTATTTTACTAGGATTCCTCTCAGGATTTCTCATTCCTCATTCTTCAGGGCTCCATAATATTCCATTATATCCAACGTATGTTTCTAGTACGTGTGTGAGGACAGAAATATCCACCCTCAGACAAACTCATGCTGTTGTCTTCCGTATTGATGCTACTAAGTGTGTTCCCTCTCTCTGCAGATAGGGCCAAACGCCAAGGAGTTGTTCAGGCTTGTGGAGGATTTCATTGATGTCATCGGCTTCCGCATGAAAGATTTCCGGGATTCCTACCAAGTGACGGACAATCTGGGTGAGTTGATTTGCACGTCCCATGTTGGGGAGAGACCCCAGGAAGCTGTAATTACTGTGCAACGTGCATAACCTGGGATGTGGGGAGGGAAGGAGGGAAGACAGCAGGTGGTGGAACATTAAAAAGTCTGGAGAAAGACATGGCTGATCATGAATATGGAGTGGCTTCTCTCCAAATAAGTCAGGACTTCAGCGTGAAGAAGAGATGTCCACGGAGAAATCTGAAAGATATCTATAAAACCATGAATTGATAACAGATGATGAACTGGGCATAATTAGTTGCTCCCTTTTATTTTTTAGCACAAGAGCTGCCCAGCAACCGATGAAGTGATCAGGCAGCGAGGAAACATCAGGCAGTACTTGATTTATTCTGTATGCGCAATCACAGCGTGGAACCTGTTGCCAGGCAATGTCGGGGAAGCCAAAAAGTACAGATGGGTTCATGATGGGATTGGGAAAATGCACAAAGGAGTGGTCCATTGGTGGCTGTTAAAGTTGATGGGCCGGATACAGTTACTAGCTGAGGAAGTCCTGCGGATTGCTGAAAGCTGGGAGGACAGACCAAGAGATGTCTTGCTCTGTTCTTTCTCACTCTTCTTCTCTAAGCAGCTGCTACTGCACACTCCTGGAAATAGGACGCTGGAAATAGACTGACCTCTCTTCTGCTAGTTTTAGTGCAGGCAGGTCATTTTCAATGGATAGAAACATGAATTCTTTAAAGTTAATGTCATCTTCCTTCATGCATAGACATTACCTGAAGATAGCATCCTTCCTACAGCTATCAAGATCCAGCCTCACTCCTTCTGTTGTCTGATTTCCTGCTATTGCCTCCAATGGATTTTTAAGCATATGGGAATTTATTGAGGTTAATTTTTCTTACTGGTTTTCTCTCTTGCTTCCCTCTAGTCCTCGGCATTCACAAACTACCTGCTAATGCAGCAACAGACATCACCTTTCCCATGAAAGGCTGGAGGGGCATGGTGGACTGGGCCAAGAACTCGGAGGACAAGGTCACCGTCTCCAAGAGCATCCTGTCTTCGGGGCTGACAGGTAGGCAGCACAGCCAGGCCACTCCAGCAGAACATTTATTAATTTTCTAAGACAGGTTGCTTCCATTTGGCTGGTCTTCAAATTCTCTTTCCAGTTCAGCTGGATTTGCTCACAAAAGGTTGGTCACCAAATGCATTGCTGAGTGCAAATAAGGTTTTCAGATGTGGCCTGACCAGAAGCCAAGCCTAAACCCCTTGCAAAAGTTCAGGGGCAGGCTTAGTATCTGGATGTCGATGTATATCTTCTCCTAAATAAGCAGTATATTTAGAAAAAGCAGGAGTTGGTACAAGAACAGCTGACACCCTCAGGTGTAAGTGACTAGCAAAGAAAGGACGACATCCAGCACTCCTTGGGTTTTGTTTTGCCTTGAAGACAACATTATTTTCCTGGGAGAAGTTAAAGCACATTGGGAGGGATATTACAGCTTGTTTAAGGAGATTGCGGAGCCTTCACCTTTGGAAACCTTTAATCACTTGTTGGACAAACTTCTGGCACCAGACATAGGCAGAGCTGATCCTGTACTGGGGCTGAGGCCTCTCCTAGAGACCTCATTCACTTGGTGCTGTTTTCCAGACATCTATTACAAGCATCCTCACACAAAGCTGCTCTAGGGCCTCTGAGCAGCAGTCGCTGTGCAAAGAAAAGGTGATATCTACCCCAAAGAGTCAATTTTTCATCGTTCCTCAATATGGTGTCCTGTTCCGCCCAGAGCTGTATTGTCTCTGCCTTGTTCAGCATCCCACTCTGGTGCTCTCTTTTTAAGGGCTTACTCAGTGATTACCAGTGGAGATGCACCTCTATCAGTTTTGATCCTCACCTTTCCTTTGCCCCAGGAAATAGGGGCTGCAAAGTGATGGAGACAGGCAGCTGGGTGAGACCAAAACCAGATCCCCTCCCTGCCGGGAGCTGACTTTGCACAGTTGATTTCAGTGGGCCAGCACTAAGGTACACAGTTGGGTGATGCTGTGGGCTGTGCAAATACTGCTGGTGAGTGAACATCTCTGGGGCCATGCTACTTGACCAAAATGCAATGGATTTCAACTGGTTCCTATGTCAGAGGGTGTTTTTTTTCCTTTTATACCAGCACTAATGGACAGCTGCATTATTAAAGATCTCTTCCAGACCAAAAGAGACAAGGCTCCACCTCTATTAAAACCAGGATCCTTTGCCTTCCTGGGAGGATGCTTTGATAACCCAGCCTGTGGGGCTTAGGGATTTGCTTGCTCTCAGTCTCACAGGAGCACACTTTGCTTCTGTAAACCCCCTACCGCATCCTCTGAGCACAAAGAGGGAAAAACTCTTTGAAGGCAGCAGGATCCTTGTTTGTGTAGGGATTCATGGGAAAGGCCAAAAGACTGTGCCAGCTTTCCTAAAGAGGCAAAGCTTGTGCAATTACTCTGCAAGCCAGTCTGTCAGTCTGTCAGTCTCTCCTAGTTAGGTTTTCACCAGTTATCTCACTCAAGCCCAGTTTGACAGAGAGGAAGACAGACATGCAGAGCTGTGTGTGCCCTGCACTGATGGAGCAGGCGCACGCTAAGTTCAACCTCAACACAAGACATCAGAGAAGCCCCGCATGGGGATGCTTCCCCAGGCTTCCTCAACTCTGCTTTTCACCCAGCCACTTGCTTTTTCTCCCCCTGCAAATTCAACCCCGGGGCTGATTCTGTGCTGTGTGCTTTTTGCTGGGAAATTCTTGCTTTTTGCAGCTGGGCACCGCCAGATAAAGGAGAAGGAGGAGGAGTGGAGAAGTGGAGGAAGAGGTGGTCAAGTGACGTGCCCAGAGGTCTCACAGATGATTCAGAGGCTCATCTGGGACTGTGGTCCCCATGGCCTCCTGAGGCAGAACATGAGTTGTGGGGTCAAACTGGGCACAGTGGGACATCTCCCTTTCTTGGCTGCCCTTGTCAGCCTGAGTGCAGCTCTTCTCTCTGATGGCTCAATAGCTATGGACGGGTCCAAATGCCTCTGGGTGGCTCCAAGAGACCTTTCCGCCCTGCAGATTTGCCCACTGGGGTGCTGTCGGAGGGATTAGTGGGATTTCTGAGTGGGGGAGCATGGGGATAATCATTCGGGATGACTGAGCTTTGTGTTAGGGCAGGCACCTGGGGCACTGGGTCACCCCAAAGACACTGAGCCTTTCCTTGGGACCAATGGAGACCCAGCGTGGTGACAGCAGGCACTGCATCCCACCACAGTGATGCTGGCATTGGCCGTGTCCCATCAGAGACCGCTCCATGTGAGGTCTAATCCTCTACCTGGGTGTCCCGTGGGGACAAGTGACGTCTCAATTGTCTCAGTGCTGTTATCTTCTTCCTTTTCCCTTGGTGTCCTGCAGAGTCGGACGACTCCTCCGTCTTCGTGGTGGGGACCGTGCTGTACCGGAACGTGGGCAACATCCTCTCCCTCCAGAGGTAAGAGGGGCTGCCTGGGGGAGGGAGAGCAGCTGAGAAATTACCAGGCTTTTCTGCTGATCCCTCTGGCTGCAGAGCCCTCGTCTTCCAGGGAAATAGCAAAGGTCACTGGATGCGACGAGACAGACTTTGATTCGGAAGTGCAATTTTTTGACCCCCATCAACTGATGGTGCATGTCCAGGTGGGGCCGGGCTCAGATATCACAGATATTTCTTGCTGAAAGGGGCAGGAAGGTTTTCTCCATCCACATGCAGTGCTATGCACCCCAAATACCAGGGAAGCACCGAGCTGTGGCCACCACCACATCCCTGCCTGCCATCCTTTCCCCTCCAGAAACCAATTCTCCCGCTGCCCTCCCCATCACGAGGGATTTTGGAGGGGAGGGAGCTTGACAGATGGGGGGATGCTCAGCTGTCCTGATCCTCCCAAGCTACTGGGGAGCTGCCAGCCACGCCGAGCCCTCCGAAAACATCGTGGCAGAAGACAGGCTCAGGGAGAGGAGAAGAGAGGAGAGGAGCAGCACGCCTGGCTGCACATGTCTACCACGTTCCCGGCCGCTGCAAAACGCCTCGGGCACCAAAGCTTTTGTGTTCAGCAGTCCCTTTCCTTTTCTTCTCTCCTCTCCCTTTCTCTCTTGCTATCTTGCTCTTTTTTTTTTTTTTTTTTCTGAGGCTGGTACTGAGGCAGTAAATTAAGCATCCTAAGGCACCTTCTAAATCTGTTCTGCACTGATTAGCGTGAGCCCATTTACCACAAACACCAGGGCATCTCTCCTCACCGATAATCATTTAAATACCTACAGATTTAGCACTGGCAACGGCAAAAGAGCTCCAAGTGAGTGCAGAGAGGAATTAGCAGGCTAGCCAACTGTATTCTGTAATATCTTCCATTACAGCACTGGGAATTAGATCAGAAGGGCAATAAACATCATTGGCTCAAATGATCCAGCGGTATTTCAGCTTCCTCTGGCCAAGCAGTGAACGAACTCTGATAACCAGCAGCTGCAGCAGCCGCAGCCTCTGAACAGCATTCCCACGGGAGATCTGATTTAAGGCTTTCCTTAATTAAAGGACAGTCCCTCTTTTAAAAAATCCAGAGCCCTGAATCACCTGTGAAGATTAAAAGGGAGAAAAAAAAAAGAAAATAAAAGAGAGAGTACCTCTTACTTCACCGCTGTATAAATGGACACAGCAAGAAAAAGGGGAATGTCTTTAAATAACCACGTACCTACATAGCACCTGCCTGTGGGGTAGAAATATTTCTGGTCACAAAGGAGAGAAGCTATTCCTGGGGACACACAAGCAATAAGGACACAGATCCTGAGTTTGACCACAATGATCCAATGCAGAGTGGGTTTTTTCCTAAAATAAAAAAAATGTGGATTTAACTCAGCAACCAGCACCAGCTGAGCTGTTCCTAATTACCGCAATTTACCTCCCCCAAACAACAATTCCTTATCTGAGCCACACGTTGCCCTGTCCCATTGGATCTAGGGAGCTCTGTGCTTCTTGGCAGCTGTGACAATTGAGATGGGACACACAGGATGCCTGATTTTGTCAAGCCCAGAAGGTGAGTGGCGCTTGGTTGCAGACAAGCATCGCTACAGAGGATGCGTGCAGCAGTTGGAGAGTCAGCTGCCTGGCACCTGACAGCCCTGTGTACCAAACAGTGTGTTTACAGCTGTTTGCACGCTCTTTTACTGCCATGCAGGAGCCCTCTGAGCTCATCTGACCTCCTGTCCAAGCCAGATCTTGATGTGTTTTGTTTGCTTCTCAGAAGCTGGGTTGCCACATGCTGTTACAAACGACGACTCATCTCCTTCCTGAAAGATTCCCCTGTGATGCTGAGTCCCTCACCTCCCCACCAAGATGCTCAGATGCTTAATTACCTTCTCTGCTGGGAGACTGGCTCTTATTTTAAGGCTGAATTTTTCTGACTTCCAGGCGTTGGGTCTTTTGGGTGGGCAACTGAAAAATCCCCCAAAAGCAGTGAACTGTCAGACATGACTTTCAACAGAAAATTTTTGTCCGGTTTTCCAACAACTGGATCAATTTTGTGTCTCTCCTTTGAACTCCCTCCACTGTTTTTCCCCCATCTTGAAGTGGAATTGAACCCACCCGTACAGGGGCATCCTGACAAGGAAGGGTGTAGATAGAAGATGACTGCTTCATTTCCTTCTTTCTGCACAGGATCGCTTCTGTCCTTTCTGTCACAGTTCTTTGCGCTGAAGTCAATCTCCCTGGGTACATTTTGGGTCACAGCTCCCCAGGGCACAGCCTGTAGCTCTGCAGACAGACCTCGTGCTCTCCAGTCTCAGATGTGTTTCCTGATTCTTGGATGCACTGCGATAACTTCTGGGTGGGCTGTGACTTACGTGAACAACTTTTCGGTGCCAACAACTCGCTGCAAAATCAAATGCTTCTCCTAGTTTTGCTTACCCCACCAATCCTCATGTGTTCCACAGCCTTCAAAAGGATGTTTCTGTGTCATCTGGCTTGTTCATGCAAACACTCAACAGCACTGAACCAGGAACTGACCCTTACAGACCCAGTTACTCATGGACATGTGCACTGGTGTTTACCTTTCAGCAGCTCTCGTTTTTAGCTTATCTACAGCTGCCTACATTTTAAAGCTTAGAGTTGATATTTCCTCCCTTTGGCTTTCCCCTTTACTCTTCCTTTGTAGATTGATATTTGTGCCTTTTCCCTTTCCCTTTCTCCTGCTGAAACAATGTTGTTTGGTGAAATAGTGGCTTTCTGAGCATCCACTCACACATCAGCAAATGACTCCAAGTTGTAGGTTGGGTTTTGTTGGTTTCTTTTTCCTTTGTTTTGGAGGGTTTTTTAATATACTTACTGTTAAGCAAGGTCAAATCGTTTGCATGTGATTATTTTGGAAGAGGAAGAAAAGACCAAGCAAGAAAGGTGAAAGATTTTGCTAATGCCTGCAGATTTGGTGGAGATTTGGATGGGGGAAAATTTTCCTTGCCCACAGGTGTGGGAAGGGCTGGGAGCAGCCCGATGCTGCGCTACCACTCTTCTACCAATTCCTTCATCTTAAACTTAGAGAGGCAGCATTTTCAGCTGCTGGTTGAAACTTCTGCTTATTGAAACACCCAAGTCCTTTCGTACTTCAGAAACATCAGGAACCCCTATGTAATTAGGTGTCCAAGTCCAGGAAAGTGTCTACAAAGGGTTTGGCTTTCCAGGGAGCAGGGTCACAGGTGTGGGAGATACCTCCTCCCTTATTGCCTCTCCCAACAGCCAAATCTCCTAAGGCTGCCAGATTTATTAAAGTATCTGTCTGGGCACAGACATTTAGACATCCACATGAAAGGTTTGGTCTCTTTCCATTTGCTTTTGATCATTATAGGTTGAAGATACACACCAGTGTCTCTAGTAGTGAACTGGACACAATCACACCCTACCCCATGGATATGCTGTTAAAGGCCACCATGTCCCTCCTCAACACTTACTGCACTGCAGTTAAGCCAACCTTTGAGAGGAAAAACAGGGGTTTCTTTTTCCTGAAAGGACATGAAACAAGCTTAGTTTCCTCATGTCAGGATCAGAAAATGGGTCCGGGGCCATTTTATTACTGGGATAGATACAACTTTTAAGACCAATGGCGTTAGGGGTCTATGCGGTTCATAAAATGTTCTGATTCCTGGAGGAATAAATGTAAAGTGGCTGTGAGGGGAGCTCAAAGGGCAAAAAATGGGGTCCAGCAGCAGCAAGTGTCTTTGATTGTATTTTAAAGTAATGGGGCCAACTCTTTCTGCACTAAACCTTGTACCACCAGTGATGAGTGCAGTGGGATTTGCTGCTCTGCAGAATTCCCTCGGTCCCCTTTAAAGCATCTCTTTCCCCTCTTCTTCCCAGGAACAGCACTGTTCTGAACTCCAGAGTCATCTCCGTGACTGTGAAGCCATTTCCCCGGTCTCTCCTCACCCCCTTGGAAATTGAATTCTCCCACCTGTACAACGTAAGTCTCTCCTGGGAACCTGGACCACTATACAGCTGATTTTGCTTCTACATAGATGCAGTGTGTTGGTGCAAGGAAGGAGGTGGCTTTTCTGGGTTCCTGAGACCTCTTTGCCTTCCAAAGACCCTTCAATCTCCCTTAACACAGGCAGCCAAGGCAGCTGCCACCCTGGAATTGCGTTGGTGTTGGTGTCCTGTTGTTGCTCACTGCCAAGGGTGTACCATATGGGTCAGCCTTGCAAACCTTGCCTACTCTGTGCCCCTTGCTCAGGCATTGTCACGGCAGGAGGAAGGTGACAGCACTGCTTGCACGGGGGACACCTGTCCCAAATTCACACTTTTTTCATTGTGGGCACGGTCACAGGAGAACTGTGCACTCATTTAAGAAATGGGTATAATAATGATCTCCCTCGATGAGGGAAAGTGGGAAGGGAAAGGTGGTTTCCATGAATACTTGCAATGTTCTTTGCAGTCCTTTGAAACAACTGGAGACATGAATATTACTGTTGGGATCAGTGTTTTAAAACACAAAGATCCCCTCCAGGTTCCCCTGCTCAACTCTAATCGGATACATGTGATGGACATTTATATACCCCAAGGCCTGTTCTTGTTGTGGGTTTCAGACATTCTCCTGAGGCTCTGCAACATGAATATTAGATCTGTCATGTCTCTGCTTTGGACTTTCCTGGAATGATTTTCCAAAGCAGTCTAAGACAGCTGCAGCTGGAGTCAATGGTAAACCTCTTCCAGGGGGCTTTAAACACACCTGACCACCGTCCTGCAGGGCTGCAGGCTGCTCTGAGGACCATGTCCCACAAAAGCACATGCTGTATTTGGTCCACTTTCCAGAAGGGAGCAGCAAAAGAATTCTGTGTGAGAGGAGGTAAAAGGAAGAACATCAGTAGGATGAGTCAGGAAAGATGCAGAGTGGAATCCTCCTGTAGTGAAGTTGATGCAGAACAAACTGAGGCCCATTTCTTCTTGCTTTTCAAGTCAAGAGAAGAAAGAAGGTTTTCCAAGGACTCAGATCTGTGACTGCCCATCTCGGGTGTTACAGACACAGGATGCTTAGAGTAGTGGAAACTGTTCTACAGGACCTGCATATTTCATTCTAGTTGCTCCAAACGCCCATAAACAACAAGGTACTAATTAGCTTCATTTTCTCCTTTCTTCTCTCCTGGCAGGGAACCACCAACCAGACTTGCATCCTGTGGGACGAAACTGAAGGGTGAGTTCTGTGGGTTTCTCTTTACTTCTCGTTTGCTTTTTGGGTGAAATCATCACAAGTTTAGCAGTGATGTGTAGGTTTGTTGTAGCCATTTGCATTCTTTCCTTAGTTTTTTTTCTTGCGTCCACCTTCACAGCCGGCAAAGTCCTTCACCCTTGTGGGGAGTGCTCCTTTCTACACACTATCTTCTTTCCGCATTGACTTTTAGTGCCAGTTGAACTTATGTTTATGTGTCTTATGTTTAAAGATCTACAATTAAATGTTGTCAGTATAGTCCTTGATGGGCCATGGTTGCCAGGAGCATTGTGTGTCTGTACCAGGGAAACATCTCCCAGTGTCAAGCAAGGATGTTCATATGAATTTCTGCTCACAGGGAGGGGTGTTTGCATTTTCCTTTGATGTTTTGGATCCCGGCTTACATTTTGCAAAAGTGGCCTCTAATTTCGACTCTTCCAATTTTGTATTTTCCCACATGTGGAATACATGAGCTATGGCCCAGGATTATGGAGTCATTCACAAATTGCCCTAAATTGAATTTGACGTAGTGCTTGGCTCTCCTCAATGCTCACCCCAAATTAGGCACAACAAGGAGAGTCACGAAAAATCAGAGCCCACTGTTGCAAATATGGCCTGCAAGGGTGAAGTACGTGTAGTGCTGGTGTGATATAGTAAAATGCAGTAAAATATAGTAAAACTTCTGTGAGGATTCCTGAAATGACTGGTGCTGTTCAGGAAGAGTTGGGTGCTGTGACTGTGATCAGCAGAGGAAAAAAGAAACCCCAAGTTGCCACAAAGTTAGCACCATAAATCCCAGGTGGGAACTAGTTGTCAGAGAGTGTGTATCTGAAAAAAAACCAGCTTAAGTACACTCTGAAAGTGTGGTCTTAAATCCTGAGTGAGCTTGACAAGGGTACAAAGTGTTTGATTTAATGGTGCTTTTACTTCACTGCCTTTTGTATCTCAGTTTGAGGACCAGCCTGACTTCTGCTTACAGTCAGTTTCTCTCCTTGAGATCTCACGCGTTTGGCACGTAACTCTGCATTTATTATTATTATTTATTATCATTACCTGCAGCATCTGAAAAATGATTCTATTCTTCTCCTTTTATGCTCCATTAAGTAGCACATACACACATAAGCAGGCAACATATTTGCAGCCAGCTTACCGTTCCTGTTGGTCTGTGATTAATTTGGCGTGTGTGAGTTGATCCAAAGCAAAGCTGAAGAACCCGGAGGGCCTCTGTGCTTGTGAAATCACACCCGTGTTGTAGCCCAGGGCAGAACCGGTCCCTCTTGGGTTGTAGTGAAAATCGCTCCAACATTAGAAGACGGTTGAGATGCAGGAGCCCGTTGTGTGCTGTACTGAGCTCTCATGGCAACACGCAGGTGAACCTTCACGAAATTAGTAAAATGGGATTTTTATCATATTACCCATGTGCCAGAGAGAAGACTGAGTCTGTAGGTCAGCCCAGAGAGTAAAAGATTGTGTATCTGTGGGCAGACTCAGGAGGAGGCTTGGATAGGAACTGGCCTGCTCTACTAAATCTGTTGTCTCTCCACACTGGAATGGGATTAAAACCTTTATGTACAAATCCAGGTTTTGGCAAATAGAGGCAGAAGTTGGAACCAATGCCCCTTCTGCTCTGCACATTGTCTAGTCACTTTTGGCTTTTTAGGTTCTCAAGAGAGAACGTCCAGAAGGGTGGAAGTGTTTTCTTGCCATGCTCAGAGCTGGATTTAATTAACTACAATCTGAGCGAGAAAAGAGCAAAATCCAGTCTGCACATAGCTGAATCTAAGGGAGAGTGATGGCATTCAGGCTGGGTACATATCTGTCAGAGCTGGCACTGAAAGGTGCCTGGTACGAGAAGGATGAAGGGCTGCCCAGTGCTGAGTATGGCTTGAGAAGGTTGAATGCCGTTGCTGATCTGGAGGTAGAACAGTGCCCAGTTCAGCATCATCGCCTCTGCCTTGTCCTGGGAGGTCTGACTGCTCCCTATTCTTGTTCCCAAGGCTTGGCAGCTTGTCTGGATGCCTGTTGTCTCTCTAGAACCGTGAGGTGTTAGAAGTGTTTTCAGTCTTTAATCCTTGCAATTCCATGGCATCAAAGGAGCGGTTGGTAGCTGAGAGTTGAGCAGGTGATTTCTTGACACCGATGCTGTGGTTCAGGTGTCAAGGGTGGTTTCCAGAACCCCAGCGGATTGGTTGCACAAATGTTGTTGCTAAGACTGTTTTCTGTGCATGTTGGGGGGTGTGTGCACGTCTACAAGTGTTTTCAACCAACATTTGCAGTCTCAAGCAAATTGAAATGATGGAAAATGCTGATGTCAGCACATTTTGTTAGAGGATGTTCCAAAGCTAGATCCAACCTGAGCTCTGGCAATGGAAGGTGCCAAGATGTTTGTGTGACATTTTAAAGCTGATTTGCTACCACTGCTGCCTTCTGGAAAGTCTAATGAAAGACAAACTGTGTAAATTCTATTCCCAGGGCCTGGAGGCTCACCTCAAACTTGAATAGCACCCTGGAGCTGTCGAGGGGTTTGCATCACAGTTCTGGATAACTGGTGCTTGTTTGGAGCAAGGATTTTTAGGTTACACCCTGGACCTGTTGCCTGGTATGTGGTAGAGATCATGTCTGGTGACTCTGAGGCAAGAAACCCTGAGGTTCAGCCACATTTCTGTGGGTTCTTTTTGTTCCTCTCTTCTTCTTCCTGTCACCCCTCTCCTTAAATTGGAGTTTTTCCTCTTGATTAGTCTCATAAGACAGTTATGCAAGTGGGTGAATCTGAGGAAATACCAGCTCTGACCAGTCTAATGGCGTTACAACTTAATTTCCCTGTCTGTTATTCACCCTACCGTATTCCCAAGCCAGCCTGCCATGGTGTTGCTTGCCCAGAAGACATGGTTGTCTCTTAAGCTTGCTCCTTTCTAGGCTCTCCACAATCCTGCTCCACGGTTGGCTGGGTAGGGGTCCTTCCCTTTGATCACAGTCATCCATCCTGGATGCAGATCTTGGGGATCCAAACTCCACTCGAACCAACCTCTGGATTTAACCCCTTGCACCTGGTGTGACTGAACAGGTAGAGAGGCCAGAAACTGGAAGCAATCCTCACATGAGAGCTTCTGCCTGTTACCGAAGCCACCTGAGCTTTCAATCCCATCTGAAACATGCCACAGCCCTTTAAAGACCACTTAAATTCCATGGGCCGTGAAGGGTTGAACTGTAAAATTGCAATTAGAACAGACAATTGTCATGGGGCCATGTGCTTCCTCCATGACAGAGTTGTTGAACAGAGCACTAAAAAAAAAAAAAAAGGAAGAAGCCCCGAGTGTTCATTCATTTGCATTTAGATAGATATTTAAGCTTGTAATATTAATAATGGATTTTTGATTTATTAATCCCAGCCCCTTTGAGTGACTGTTAGATTCGTGGGTGGCACCTCTCCATCTTTTTTCTCTTCCTCTTGCCCCCAACTCCTCATGTCATGAAATGAGAGGGGAGAAGATCAGGGACTAATTTCTGTTGTGTTGGGTGCTGCAAGTGTGATTAATGAGCTTAGCACTAGCTGGGTAAATTGAAAGTTGAAATCGGAGAACGATTTGGGATTCTCTGGCTCTCCTCCAAGAGCATTTATCTGGAGTAATTATTAGCTGCTTAGCCTTGCTGCGGTTAAAACCCAGGCAGGATCTGGTCTCCTGCTCCCTCTTTCTTCTGCTGGGACAGGGAAGGGTGGAAGGTGTTGATGGATGTAGTCCATGTGCTTTCATGTTCTTATGCATCATCAGATCTCTGTTTCTCTCCTGACTTGTTCTGGTGCACAGTGGGGATACCGTATGGCAGAGGGACCTGGGATACAGTTGCCAAAGTTTGTTGTTAGTGGTGGCAACGTTGCTTCACAGCTACAGTGGAAGACGCAGGGCTAATTAGTGTTACAGCACCGTCCTGTGGGACTGATGAGTCTGCGCACTCAGTCCTCCAAAGCTGGGTTTTGGCACTCTTTGGGCATGAGGCCAGGTCAAATGATGGGGACTGTTGTGAGATGAAAGGGAACAGTTCCAAGCCATCAGGTGTCTGCAGAGAGACCATGAGATCAGACTGACTGCTCCCATAGATAGATTCACAGCCACAGGTAGATGCTAATTGTCCCCTCCAGCGTGCCTTGCTTTGGTGACAGAGGGAACTGGGGTTGTTCATCCTGGAGGAAAGGAGGCTGAGGGGACACCTTATCACTCTCTACAACCTGAAAGGCAGTTGTAGCAAGGTGGGGTCTGGTTTTTCTCCCAAGTAACAAGTGATAGGACAAGAGGAAATGGCCTCAAGCTGTGCCAGGGAAGGTTTAGGATGGATATTAGAAAAAAAATAATTACACTGAAAGGGTTATTAAACATTGGAACAGGCTTCCCAGGAAAGTGGTTGAGTCACCATCCCTGGAGGTATTTAAAAGATGGGTAGATGTAGTGCTTAGATATATGGTTTAGTGGTGGTTTTTGTCAGTGTTACGTTGATGGTTGGACTCGATCTGAAAAGTCCCTTCCATCCTAGACAAATATATGATTCTATGACAGCAGGGACCAAGCCAGCTAGGTGGGTCTTGTATTGGGTCATGGTTCATGAGAAAGCGTTGTGCCACGTCCCATACCTGCAGAGGAAGGGATCCAGCAGGTCTGTGTTGCCAGGGGACTGCTCATCCCACAGGAAATTCTTGTGTTATAGGAGCTGCCTGCCTCCAGCCACCAACTTTTCTCTGTTTCTCTGTCTCCAAGATGAGCATAATGATTACTAGGCAATACAATAACTGATCTTGAGAGGCCTTCCAAACCTTGACAAATATTTGCATAAAAGCCTTTTTGCTCTTGGAAGAGAAAGTGCCTCAGGACTTTTGACTCAAGGACACTCTTACCTTCCCTTGGGAAAGATCATCTGTTCCAGTAATTAAAGCCTTTAACCTATCTAACTTAGGAAATGCAGACCTCAGTGTTTAGGAAGGTGCCCCATGTGCAGCAA